TTATGTAAGGTCCAATGCTGTAAAGTATCTTAAGCATAAAATGAGATGTGCTAGTGGCTAGAGGCGTAACCCAGCAGTAGGATGTGTGCTTAGCATGTGTGAGCTAGAGGCGTAACCCAGCAGTAGGATGTGTGCTTAGCATGTGTGAGCTAGAGGCGTAACCCAGCAGTAGGATGTGTGCTTAGCATGTGTGAGCTAGAGGCGTAACCCAGCAGTAGGATGTGTGCTTAGCATGTGTGAGCTAGAGGCGTAACCCAGCAGTAGGATGTGTTCTTAGCATATGTGAGCTAGAGGCGTAACCCAGCAGTAGGATGTGTTCTTAGCATGTGTGAGCTAGAGGCGTAACCCAGCAGTAGGATGTGTGCTTAGCATGTGTGAGCTAGAGGCGTAACCCAGCAGTAGGATGTGTGCTTAGCATGTGTGAGCTACAGGCGTAACCCAGCAGTAGGATGTGTGCTTAGCATGTGTGAGCTAGAGGCGTAACCCAGCAGTAGGATGTGTTCTTAGCATATGTGAGCTAGAGGCGTAACCCAGCAGTAGGATGTGTTCTTAGCATGTGTGAGCTAGAGGCGTAACCCAGCAGTAGGATGTGTGCTTAGCATGTGTGAGCTAGAGGCGTAACCCAGCAGTAGGATGTGTTCTTAGCATGTGTGAGCTAGAGGTGTAACCCAGCAGTAGGATGTGTTCTTAGCATGTGTGAGCTAGAGGCGTAACCCAGCAGTAGGATGTGTGCTTAGCATGTGTGAGCTAGAGGCATTACCCAGCAGTAGGATGTGTGCTTAGCATGTGTGAGCTCCTGGGTTCAGTCTGCAGCATAATAGCCCAGGCAGACAAATAAATAGATGCTAAACTGTAGATAATATAAAAGGATTTAATTTATTAAAATGCTGCATATAGTTTTCTATTTGAGTTATAAGGTTGTATAATCAATCAGATTAGTATTTACATCTCATTATTTGACTTTACTAAAGATAGTTGTATATATGCTGTGGTTGAAAAACAATTTTAAATATCAGAAGTACGATCCAGGCCTGGATCCATGGCCTAATATAAGTGAAGTATGGGTTGGTGAGATGGTTCCGTGGATAGAAGTGCTTGCCTTCCAAGCCTGATGACCCGTGTTTGCTACCTAGAACCCACATCAAATCCAAAAGTGGTGGCTAACATCTGTAATGGAAGCACTCCCATAGAGACATGGGCTCCCACAGAGCTATGGGAGGCAGAGACAGGAAAATCTCCTGGAAGCTCTCAGGCTTCAGTACACAAAGCTATGGGGTCAGTACGAGAGACCCCGTCTCAACAAGGTAGCAGGAGAGCACAGTTCATGACCTTCACATGTACACTGTGGCACATGAGTGCACACGCACGCACACACACGCACGCACACGCGCACACACACACACCACATATAAAATAATAACAAATGGAATTAGAGTTTAACTTTAAATAGAATAAAAGGCAAACACACTTTTGGGGTCGGAGTATCAGTGCCCTGACCATTTTCAGGGCTTGGGCTCTCAGGATGTAGGTGGGAATATATTGCTCATGCATTTAAGATCCAGTTCAACCAGGACTCTGTGTAAAATGACAGGGTATGGACAATGCATCACCCCTGAGGTTCCCTTCATGTAGGCAGCGCTGTAAGTGGTGCTCCTGGGAGCCTCTCAGTGCTGAGTTCAATGACCTACTTCTCATAGGCCCTTGGTTGCTATGGTGTTGGTAATCACTTCCCACACATAACTCCCTCTCACTGCCTACCCCTTGAGGTCTTTTTTTGGTTATTGATTCTAAGCATCATGCAAAATGACTCCTTACTGTTCTTAAGAAGCAGCTGCCTAATGAAGAGGTGGGAAATGAAACACACACACCTTAGGGGTGTGTGTGTGTGTGTGTGTGTGTGTGTGTGGTTGCTTATGCACATATTCACCTGTGCATGGAGACCAGAGGACAACCTCGGGTAATGTTCCTCTTTGCGATATGGTCTCCTACACATCTTAAAACTCTTAGAATGCAGTGTTATTATTTCTCTACATGAAACTGGAGCTATAAAAAGTTGATCCAACTCACCTCAGTGTTGTCTCCAAGGTGACAGGACAGTATGGGGGAAGGAGAGGCTCCTGCTCAGTCACCATGGAGCCATGGCACTTTGACAGGCCTCCATTCATCATGTGTGAGCTGAAAGCCCTCAGATTTAACATTAAAGGCTCAGAACCCCAAATTCAATTCTCAGCATCACACATACACATGAGAAAAGGAAAAGTAAAAAACAAGATAGATTTATGGATTATTTCTCAGAAATAATCCTTAATATTAATTGAGCCATGCATAAGGCTGCACTATGAAAATAAAACTGAATAGTGGAAATAGAGATGCATTTTTCATTGTTGATCCCTAAATATTGCTAACACAAAAGTCCACAGATCTTTGTGTGTACCTACCTTCCATTATTTTTTTTTTTTGAGGGGGGTGTCTTTAAAACAGTGTAACACTGCTTACAATATGACCTTATTTCTAGCCAGTTTTACATTAAATCATTCAATTCAGAATGTCACATGTGTGTTCAAAAGATCTCTTATATCAAAATTCAAAGCCTTCTCAAACACATAGTGTTAAACTACGCAGGTCAGCTTACAGTAGGAGTAAATAATGCAGACTAATTGCAAGAAACTGCCAAAGTGGTGCCTGAATGGCATCAAAAGGAATTTTCTAGTAGCCCAACTCAGCAAAGATCGCGTTTGTCACACCATTCTCTTCCCTTTCCCTTTGCAGTGTTTTTCAGGCTACTTGAGTGGGTGTTGGGTGGACACTGAGTGCCCAGTAGATTCTTCTCTCAGACTTCCATGACTGCCTTTACTTCCCTTTCTGTGACCGCCCACCTGCTGCTTTGCTCTTTCATGCTGGCATTCACATGGCCAAGGCTTCCCAGAAGCTCCCAGGTTCTATTGAACCAAGAAAAGGTAACTTCCAGTCTTCCTCAGAGTGCAGGCTTTTTAACACTTCAAAGTAGGGTACTGACATCAACCTGACCCCTTCCTTGCCAAAGGGTTGGCATCACAAGCAGAGCAGTTAGAGCAGAGTCCTGTGCCTCAGGCTAGATGGAGCCTGACATCTTCAGGAAGTAGTAAGGCATCTGGGGAGAGGCAGAGGTAGGGTTAGTGAGGCTGAGGCCAGGTTGTGCAAAGCCTGTGCTTATGGACTTTGGTGAAGGGGGGGGGGGCGTGCAGAAAAAAGACGCACTTGATGTTTTAATGACCTTTTCTGGCTGTTGTGTTGAAGACACTGTTGGGAGAGAAGGATACAATTGGGAAGATAAGGTAGGAAATCACTGCAAGAGCCCAGGTGAGGGATGGCACCAGATGAAGCAGAGAGCAGTAGAGGCGGCGAGAAAATTGGCAGGCTCTAGTTCTGTAGTTCTGCTGTGAAAATCGAACTGAACCAGGAGGGCTTCTTGACGGATTAGATATGGAGGAAAGAATTGTTCCCTGTCCTTGCCACTCTGCGTGAGAAATTTTGCATAGGAAAAACTGTTTTTTGCCTTTTTTTTTTTTCTTTTCAGAATTGTGATTTCAGTATTAGTAGGGAGAGTCCTAAAACAAAGCTAACCCTAAATCCATAGTCCATAGTGCATGAACCTGTTTACGTACATTTTGTGCAGGTTTTCCTTACCTCTGCAAAGCCCCCATTCTGGCTTTGAATGTACTTTTTATAGATCTGGTTTCATGCTTTTTGAAAACTCTATCAGCATCCTAGAAATATAACTGGCTAGGAATTCCATTTTTTTTTTCTTGATTCACTTGTAAATGCATGCCCCTTATTTTCCTGACTTCCATGTTTAATATTTATTTTTGACTTGTGTGAGTGCATGCTTGCATGCTCTCCCGTGTGTGTGTGTGTGTGTGTGTGTGTGTGTGTGTGCGCGCGCATGCGTGTGTGCATGTATGTGTACACAAAGAACTGGCATTCTAGGAGCTTGTGAGCAGCTTCACGTGGGTGCTGCCTGATGACGTGGGTCCTCTGCAAGAGTAGTACAAGCTCCTACCACCCACTGAGCCATCTCTACAGCCCCAACATTGATTTCTTTAAGGCCAAAAGCTTTGCATCTAAATGTTTTTGAGCCCAGGTAATTTAGTGTTTAGTGTACTGCTTTGGTTTATTCTGAAGAATCGCAGCGCATGCCCTCTGGGGATCAGAAAGCTCTTAGATCTTGTGATGACTGCCATTTTCTTTCTTAATCTTTTGCATGCAGTGCCATGGTGACTGCCTTACTATTAGTAGCAAGTTGTATTTCAATATTTATATCATGTATAAATCACTTGTCACTCTGTGGTTTCACGTGGTCATAATTTTTCATAATTAAAACATACAGTCATGTGCAAAGTGTACAAAGTAAACTTATACTTTGAATATGCTGGTCTCAGACCTCTACAGAAAAAGTCACATTTTCTGGAGGGTCTTTTTTTTTTTTTTTTTTCCATTTTATCACTTTACCAGCCAGGGCTTGCAATATACAATCTGTTCTTCAGAGACATAAGTAAACTCCAAGTTAATGGTTTTTTTGTGAACTGTTTTTGAAATGTATAGGTTCACAGCTAAGAAAAAAGGAAAATAAAATTCAAAGGTCTTAATTATGGTTTGTTGTTACTTTGACATTTTTGTTTGAAATACCAGTATCTAAAAGGGATGCTGTCACTGTGTAAAAACCTTCATGACAGATTTTGTTAATGGTGATAGAATCTTTGGCTCCAAGCTGGCAAGAGACGTCAACCAGACTCCAGGATGGGGGGCTCCTTTCATGTCTCACATCCCTTGCTTCATCTTGTCTTCCTGTCATCACTTACTGTTTACTGCTCTAGTCGGCAGCGTGAACCCGGGAGAGCTGGACCTAAGTGAGGCAGACTGAAGCCTCATGCACCAGCCGACTTTATTGAGAGCATCAGGCAATTTAGACTCCATTCTTGGGCTGTGTGCTGACATGGTCCATGGTTCTCTTTTATTTCCAGGTACAAGAAAACACATGAAACACTGAGCCACGCAGGGCAGAAGGCCACAGCAGCTTTCAGTAATGTGGGAACCGCCATCAGCAAGAAGTTTGGAGATATGAGGTAAGTCACCAAAAACAAAAACAAAACAGGAACCCAGCCAAAGAGCATTGTGTATTGGTAGGGTGTTCTTTTCGTTCTTTAATGGGTAAACATGACCTTGATTGGTGACAGAGATAAATTTTCATGTTGGGATTGTTTCTGTTGGAAGGTTAGTTTAGAAGCCTTGCACCAACCTTACCCTTTCCATCAGTAAAAGTAGATGTTAGAGGGAATGAGGAGGGTTTCAGAACAATCCAGGACACAAAGAACCTGACAAAATATCTGACAAAAGCAACTTCAGGAAGAATCCATTTTGTTTCATAGTTTGAGGCTACAGTTCATCCTGGCTAGGAAGTCATGGTGAAGGGTTTGGAGGCAGTTGGTCACCTCCAGGAAGCAGAGAGAGGTGAACGCTGGCACTCTCAGTCCTGGACCTACTCTACAGGTAGTGAGTCTTCCCTCCTCAGTTTAGCCTGTCTGAAAACAGCCTTACAGACACATCTAGAGGCATGTTGCCATGGTGATTCTAAATCTAATCAGTTGACAAGGAGTATTAAGCATCACATATCTTAAATGATATAGGGAAATAGTCAGTGGAATCTGCTCTGATAAGTTATATTTTATATTTTAAAATGATACTATTTGGTTTATACTTCTGGTCTTTCTTTATTTTACCAGTATATTGACATATATTAAGAATGTATATATCTTCATTTTTAATAACAATTATCATACAGTATACAACACCAGTAAAACTTTCAAGTACCCTCCATATTATAGTTGTTAAAAGTTTACAAAGACTAGGGAGGACATGCAGATAGACTTTGGATTAACCCTAACATCCTTACTATAAAAACATGGAAAAGAGTGATGTATATGATATTTTTATTTTTTATATTATACGTGAGGGAAATGTTTCTCATAGTTATTACTGTCATATTTGTATTGTTTAAATGCCTGTCAATTTATTTTAAATTGGCCTGATGTGGCTTAGGCGATTTTTCTTTAGAAATCAATTTCATTTTTCTCTTAGAAACCAAGTTAATTTTTAAAGTGGCAAGTTTTAAGTTTCTCCTTTTCAGAAACTGCATATATATTTATGTCATTGCTGTTATTTCTCTGAAGCTTTGATACCTAGAAATAAATATTCATATCTTTGTATTTAGTTTCTTACATCAAAAGCTGTTGAATAATGTCTCATATTCATGAACCATTTTAACTAGGCATTCGTATGGAAAGAATTAATTACAGATATGTACATGAATACTCTGCATTGCTTTATCTTCATTGTTATGAATACCACATCCTCAAAACACATTGAAAGCCTTGAGAGGCAGCACATGATTTTTGTATTATTAGTTACTGCTAATTGTATTATATAGGTAGAGTTTGCAATCATATCAGTAGCATCAAACCATTTCTCTGAACAAATAATCCCTTACCAAAAAGACCCTTCTGCATATTATATATGGGGAAATATGTTTTGCCATGCTTATAAGGTTTGTTCTCTACAAATGCAGTTGACAACTTTCTCTTGAACACTAGCACCTTGCACAACACTGCCAATTAGCTTTCATCCACCTTTGCGAGTCCATATAAACATTTCCGGAACATTTAAAAAAATAAAATGCGTGCTCCTAGATTGCTCCTCTCCAAGATGGTGCTGAGAGGTGTTTGGATGGAGGCTGGGAATCTGGAAAGTGACTGCTTTGGGATGCAAGTGATCCCATCTTTAACCTGGATGGATACCCTTATTAAACATGGATGAAAGGAACATGGAGCTAAGGCTGTAACTCAGTGGTAGAGTGAGCCCTTGGCTTCCTTCAAATCACAGAAAAAGTGAGGGGAACCCAAGTAGCAATATCACTGGGGTATTATAGAGCCCCACATGTATTATGCACTCAAGTGCTAGTTTAATCTTTATTATACAACCAACTCAAGGTGGTCCTTACATGAAGGGAATCAGGATGCATCTGCAATGGGGACCCCTTGTGTCTTAAAGGTTCCTCGTGTTTCTCTAGTGAGGACCAAAGGTGGTCATGAACAGATAGTGTGTTGGTATACTGCTGTTCATATTGTGCTAAGTGTGAGACCCAATTATTAACTGCCTTTCCTCCTGTTTTTAAGTGTTTTGTTTTAGCACAATGTGTAACTCATTTCCAAGTAGTTACAGAATGCTCAATAATTACAACTTCATAGAAAGCTTCCCAGTGTTCATTGTGAAGTGGCTGGTGTTATTACTCTAGATTCATGTCTAGCAACTGTCTAGGATTCATGAGGTCTGAGGATCGAGCCTCACTGCTTTAGACAAACAAAAAGTGGCAAAAATCCTGGAAAACGTAGTATACATTTCTAGAGATTCAGATACAGTTCTGAAAACGTTTCATTAAGTTGATAAAAGTCAGAGATGTATTTCTAGGTTTTTTTTAAATCATGTATTACAAAGGTTTTAAATTTTACTCAAACAAGTAATATGTCTATGTTAAATTCCTCCAGCTTAATACACTCAAATGAGGAAATTTTCTATTTACATTTTGTTCAAACTAATGTGTCAATTTGTAAGATGATAGTAGGAAATGTTAAAATCTTTGCACAGGTATTTTGCCTTAAGCTTTCCGCTGGTCTAAAGTGTGCTATTGCCCTATACTATTCCTTACACTATAAAATTCCTCCGTGTTCCAGCACCAACTTTATGACCATGTCCAGTCTTTTTCTCCATCTGCAGATTGCATTAGTGGTGCTTACCTCACTCTTATCTTAAAGTCGCATCCATGAAGTGAACTCTGAGGAAGTGTAAACTGCTGGGTGTTGGGTTGGCTTTTATAATAACAAATTGGCTTCCTCTCAGAATTTCCCAGTGGATTTGTTCAGATGGTGAGCCACTGGGGACCAAATGTTCAGAGGAAGCACATAATATAATGGAGGCCCGCCATCCATATATCACTGTGGGGAAAGCAGCTAGAAGCAAACTTTCAACAGAGTGGCAGACAAAAAAAAAAAAAAATCTTTAAGACACATTCAAAAATTGGTGCTATCAGCTGTTGTTTCTGCACCTGTGGAGCCCAGGGGTTGAAAATATTTTTTTAATTCATCTTTATTGAGTATGTACTGATTTTTTGTGCTAAGATTCTCTAAGTAATAAGGCATAACAAATACCATATGACTTTACCCTGTCTTAAGCATCCAAGTAATAAGTATAGAACCTATATGTAAACACTAAGGCTATCCATGAAAAGAATCCTGGGATTTCCATATCCATGGGGACCTGGAACACTTCCCCTCAGCATACACAGGGAAGACAGACTGTGTAGCCAAAAGAGCAGTGAATGCAGTTACTTAACCCTTTCCTTTGAGCTCCTGCAAGAAGACATAAGTTACAAGGGGGTCATGTCTGTGCATCCTGTGCTAACTCAGCCTTGACCTTCTCTCCCATGCTGCCTGGCTGCAGGTCTCACTCTATTGGGTAAGCACACTATGTTGAGTCCATGAGGCTGTGTGAGGTCTGCAGCTGCCTCCTTGCATGCTATTCCCTTCTACCCATGGTTCTCTGCTCCCTTCACACTGTGTCACAATCAGAAAAACAAGGCCATTTTCTGTAGCATGCATGTAACCCGGAAGATGCCAATTGCACAGTGCCTAATCCACTGGGGTTGACTTAATCACACATCCATCTCACTCGTGAATCTTTCCCACCAGTTTTATTTGCTAAGCAGTCTCTTAGACCTAAATCTCCTCTGTCGGCAAAACTTCTTCCCACACTGACAGGGTCCTTAGCATTCAAAGAGGTTTAAAAAGAAAGTTGAAATTGAGAGAGTTTTTATGTTTTGTTTTGTTCTTGTTTTATTTTGGTTTTTCCAGACAGGGTTTCTCTGTATTGCTTTGGAGCCCGTCCTGGCACTCACTCTGTAGACCAGGCTAGGCTCAAACTCAGAGATCTGCCTGCAAGTGCTGGGATTAAAGGCATGAGCCAGCACAGCCTGGCTTTTATTATTATTATTATTATTATTTTAAATAAAACTTGCAGACTGTGAAACAGAGAACTGTTTCCCTCCTATCACTTTTCTCTGATTTTTCTTAACTTTGACACACCGACGTCTAAACTTCAATTTCCATATTCTGAAGTTGTAGGGAGGAAAATTACTGGAAAACACTTAGGTTAAGAAGTTAGTGGCTTCCAGTTTGAGGGCTTCAACTTAAGTCTTCTTTCTGGAGTCTTATTTTGAACTTAATCCACTCCCATCCAGATTGTTTTTAATGAAGTGAACAGATTGACGATACTGGATTTCCTGCAGTGATGTGTTTTAAATGCAATCTCTTTATATAATCTTTGGGAGGTTACAAGGACTGCCTGAATGGCTTTGTCTTTCTGGCATTTCAGTAGAAGGATGCCCATCCTGATAGCTTTAGTTGATAGTTTCCAGAATGTGTGACAGCTTTGATCCAAAAACCTGTTAGCTTCTGGAGCAGTGGTTTTCAACCTTCCTAATACTGTACCCTTTAAATATAGTTCCTCATGTCGTAGTGAACTCTAACCATAAAGTTATTTTTGTTGCTACTTCATACCTGTAATTTGGCTACTGTTATGAATGATGATTTAAGTATATGTGTTTTCTTTCTTAGATGACCCCTGTGAAGGTAATGCCTGTGAAACCATTGTTCCAACCCAAGGGGTCATGACCCACAGTTGAGAACCACTGTTCTAGGGAGAGGAGCAAGCAGAATCTATGCTTGAAATGTTGCTGGGGAGCAAGCCCTAGCCCAGGGCGATGGAACCCAGATTGTTTCCTCCATACTGCCTCACTCTAGTTCTGGGCAAAACTCAATAGACAATACCAGGCAAGGAGAAGGGAGACGATGAACTAGCTACTCTAGGATTAAGAGGATCAATCTTCTAAAATTCTCAGGCATGTTTACATTTGTACCAATTGTTCATGACAATTAGGCCAGAATGGATGTGGAAGTCTCCTCTTCCAGCTGGTGTGAGTGGATGAACCGTGATAGCCTGGCATGTGCTTCCTAGGATGCCCTACCTTAACCATTTGCACTCTTCTGGACAGATTCTGTCCAATGGAGCATTAGCATCTACCGGTTGGCTGTCCTTCCTGGGTGCAGCTCTCACTCTGACCCAGTGTGAGAACGAAGTGCAGAGCAGGGATGGGCTGGGGTACCACACCTTCTAGATTTCTTGCAAGGCCCCTGGGGAGGCCTTGGCCATGGTTCATCTATTCTCCCTTAAGCCCTTGGAAGCTGACTGTGGTCACTTACATCCAAGGAAAGCAAGCACCATCTCAGGTGGGTGGGCAGGGAAGACATCGGATATTGGAAATGGCTGTTTTAGAACTTTCAAACCAGTTTTTCCACGAACTTAAATTGTGCTGTCTTCTCCCCCCCCCCCTTTAATGTGCTTTGTCCTGAAGGTACTCCATTCGCCATTCCATAAGTATGCCTGCCATGAGGTAATGTGTACAAAATATTCACATCATATTAATGTAGAATGTATATGAAACATTTTTAATTTTTATAAGTGAGTTCCTTCTCCATTGAGAAAATAATTAGTTGATGTGCCGTGCTATGCCTCATGATTCCTTCTGTCTTCAGGAGGGAAGGTGGCCACTTGCTGTGGTCTTGGGTTTTTGACAGAAACATGACCTTAAATCCAACCCTTCCTGAGACCAGGGACAAGAACTTCACCTATCACAATCTCTATTTCTTACTGCATCTGATAAAGAACTAAGCTGCCTTGCATGGATTTATGAGGCCAAAACAAAGTAACATATCTGAAGCACTAACAGGAGCCCTGACACATTCTGAACACCTTTGCATAATTAAATGCAAACCTAGGAGGAAAAAAAGAGAAGAAAAAGAAAAGAATGGGAGAAAACAGACAGCAACATCATTAAGATGTTGAGATGAGATGTGTGCTGGAAGTTTAACAATGACAGACCACAACAATCCTGGATGGATTACTGGTGAGAAAAACCATCCAAGTTCAAGGTTGCATGGTTTAGTGGTACAGTATGATTAAAAAACAATCACCAGTGGTAATAGCCTGGAGGCACAGATTTTCATAATGGAAATGAGAAGAGGCAGGGTGTGTGAGATACAGTTCTGCCAAAGATCAATGTTACAGTCACAATAAAGCCCCTTCATTGATACCAGTGCACTGTGTTGACAGTAACAGGCTGGAACCAGGTTTGCTGCTCATCCCATGATGCTCCTGGGGGTGCTCCAGCAGCCTGGGCTGCAAACAGTGTGGGATAAGGAGCTCATGGGGCCTCTGCAACCTTCCCACACTTCAGTCAGAACTATGGCTCTCCTCTGCCTCCTAGCATTATGATTTAGAGTAATTGCAGAGGGAACTCGGTTACTTTAAATAGTATGAGACTACTGGAACCAAATACTTCTAGGGTCATTTGCAGTATCAAAAGTTTATAGTTGTACATGATGTAATTAAATTTGATTAAACAGTTCTCCAGCATGCATTCTAGTGTAATTTAATTAGAAGAATGTTTATGCTTTTCTGTCTAATGAAGTCTCTTCTACACTGGGGACATTGATTGGGAAATTTAACCACAGTGTTTGGTTTTCTGGATTTGGTAGAAATAAGATTGCTATGTTCATCTTCAGATGAATTGTTACCACGTCCATAAGACACCCTGACTGAGTAGTGCAACCCAAGGCTTGTAGCTCCTCTACTGAGCAAGTTTAAATCTGGGTATACAAAGAAGGTTTGGACAAAATGAACAAAGTTCTATCCTGTGGTCTGGAGGTCAGAGACAATCTCATCAACTTCCTGGAGTTAACTTTGAAAAGAAGTTAAGTTTACTAATCTAACATATACCCACAAACCATCCATCTTAGCTGTCTACCCACTGTAGGCCTACATAACTGATGGATGCCATGTGGGCAGGCTCAGCCAAATAAAGCCTGGAGAGAAAATGAAGTGCCACAGTATATAATTTTGAGTCACACAAATGTAATTTCACCAAGAAACAGAGGCCTTATGAAAGATTCCTCACAGGGACTTGACTAATGCTTGAGTCATATGCAAGTTATAAAGCTATGCCCTGCAATGTGACTGGAGGTACAGTTCTAGAGGGGGACTGTCAAGTCACAGGAGCAATCCTCAACAAAGCCCAAGACCTGGAGAATACATTTTATACATAGTTGCCTAGAGTCACGGCTCTTCTCACACCATACAGCCAAACCCACATCTTACAGCCACGCTCCCTTATGAAGATTCTGCAGGCCTTTCCTCTTATTTTATTATCCTCTGTCCTCAAGAAAGAGCAAATAGTTTATCAACTATGTTAAAATTTGAAATATTTGACTTGAATACAACGGCAATTGTTACTGAAATGCAACATGCCAAAATTAAGATACAGCTCTCAGCTTCTACTTCTTTAAGTGGATTTAGTGATGTCATTTGTAATGCATTGATATCAGTTGTGGTCAGGTCCAACCAAGAAAGCACCAGATGACTTAAGGCCACAGGTTGGTGGACAGATAATACAACGCAATGTTTGAATCGTTAATAAAATGCCAGTGAAGTAAGAAGGCTCTGTCTCCTAAGAAGCCGAAAAGCTAATACACACAGCTAACAAAGAAACAATGTAGAGAGCTGATGGGGGGGGGTCACTGGTGTAAAATAATGAAAACAACTTGAAGAAACGCCACTTCCTGGAATCTGTTGGTATCATTATTTTTAAGGCACAGAAAGAGAAAGCTAGGAACACTTTTTTTTTTTCTCCTTGAGCTATTTCTTGTCTGTCTTGTCTCAAACTTATGGAAATAAATTTCCAGTTTGGAAAACTCAGCATGACCTTTAGACAGGTCTTCCAGTACACACAAACAGAAAGACTGAGTTAGGAAGGGGGCAATGTTATGGCAGAAAACAATTGACAAATGTAAAATTAGCCGTCAGTTCATCGGCTCAGTGAAAATGGCTTCTGTAAGACTATAGGATTATGACAGTTGGATCCGTGCCATCTGCTGACCATTTTAGAAATATCCTATGTCTATGTTTCTGGACCTACCTGAGCAGAAATACAGTGCATTCTAGATCATAGTTGGTATAGGTGCCCAGCTGACAGCTAGCTCTGGTACAGAAGTGATACTTACAAACAAGAACTGAAAACCAAACATCATGGTTGCTAAGACACAAGGTCTTCAGAGCTGACCTCTTTCTTTTTATTTTAGGAATTCTCCTACTTTCAAATCATTTGAGGAGAGGGTTGAGACAACTGTCACAAGCCTCAAGGTACAGATGAAGTGAACTGTGTATGATTGGGTCCATTTCACGAGGACAGCTTAGTCATTACTACCATTAGTGCTGAAGGCAAGGTAGGGCCATCACCATTCTATGCAGTAAGAAGATAGGCATATGGAAAGACAGGCCTTTTCCTCCCATAGAGACTTCTAGATTTAACCAACCGTGAAGGGTATTCCTGTATCCTTAGTATTGCTTATAAACCACTCAGGGACAAATTGTTCATGAATGTGAGTTGGGTTTTCACTACTTAGTGTCATAACAGTATCCCCCCAAAAGGTGTGTGTGAGAGGACTATGGATAGAAAGTGAATAAAGTTTCTGCAATAGCTAACAGATCTTCTGGTTTGGACATTAATTAACAGAATAAAATTGGTTGTCATGTGTCATAATTCGGTCCACTGCCATGCCAGACTTATCTACTAAGTTTGTATACTAACCACAACACAGTATGGCTATCACAGAGGAAAAATTATGCAATGCCACAGAATGCATTGTTTCCTATCCTAGTAATGCATTTGATCCCTGGGTATCACTGAATTACGCCCATTCCATGGTTGGTGTTAAAATTTCATTAACTGTTTATCCATAGATGTTCATCTACATTGAGGGAGAAAAAGTAAAACAGGAAAATCTATTGATAATCAATTATTAAGAGAAACTTGTGGAAGATGCCACGTAAATAATAATGTCCTTACCTCTTGGTATATTTACTATAGTGAACATAGTCCATCCCTATATTTTACTGTTACTGAGTTCTACACATTAAAATGGTCACAATTTAGCTGCCTCCAGATGCTCACCATGTCAGTCTCACATGTACTCCACGGTAGTATCTGCCAGGGCATAAGTTAGTCCTAAACAGGTCCCAGGTGCTTCCAATGATCGGGACCTTCAGGATCTTCCCTAAAGCTGGGTCTTTCACAAGGTCTGCCTTTCAAGGCCCGTGATGAGATTTTGAACACTCCAAAATGAAGTTGTCTTTCAGGGTCAGAATTGTCTGGTGCTTGACAATTCCCCTCCTCTGAATATGTAAGGATTAATAGGGCATAAAAAAAAAGCAGCAATATAGTGTGTTGTGTGCTTGTCTCTTGCTAGAACATCCTGTATAAACGACTCAAACATCTCGGTCAGTTTCTCAACACTTGGATTCCAGCCTCATATCAGCTCATGAGTCCAAGTTCTGTTTCTTGTTAGAGGAGTACAGATGTAGGAGAAGTTGTACTTTTTTAGGTTCCTTTAGAAGTTTTTAGGTTCCTTTAGAAGGAGGAGATATGAAGAAGCCACAGATGAATAAAGAACAACCTATTTTCATTTGCTTTTAGGAAATGGGTAAGCTCATGGTTCCCATGTAAGTGTTGGTGTCACAGTCGCAGCCTCTTCCTGTTTTCTCCTCATGGCACAGAAGGCACGCACAACTAATCTCCTCCTTCAGACAGGCACATGACCACACTGTCCCCTTCAGACAGGCACCTGACCATGCTGTCCATCAGATGCCATGCTTTGTCTAGACCTCCTGAAAGCAGACTCTGTGCTTGGGCAAGGGGTCATGGCTTTAACAAGACTCACATCCCACAAGCCTGCTTATCTCCCAGTCAAAGCCTAATCCCTTTGCCCACCCAGGCAAAGAGGACATTGTCAGGTGCTGCCTGAAGCCTCCCACATCAATGAAACTTCTCGTTACTCCCTGCTGCTCAGACTAAGTAACCATACATTAAAGTGTCTTTTCTATGGCTTACTTGCTGCCATTTGCTTTGGGGTTCTAAATCTTGAAGTTTCTCTCTCAGTCTCCACTAATGGGCCTTGAGGCTATTTTCTCTTGAGGGACATAGCTCAGTAAGGAAGAATGGATGCCTCCGCGTTTCATTTCCAGGCACAAGCTCCACTTTAAGCTTGGTTTTTAAGCCCCTGACCTGGACTCAGGGTCATGTTTATGGTCTATGGAGAAAAAGTGTTCTGTGGTGAAGCAATGCCATCTCCTCAAGCAATCTGACACATACCACCGGGCATTGCTCCAAGCCAGTGTTTCTCCTTTTATATTCACTTCAATGGGCAGTGTGATAGTCCACGGAAAACTTTCCGGTTCATCATAATCAAACAGCATTTTGTGGATTTAACCATGTTCTGACTCATCATAAACAGTAACATCTGCCACGCACCCTTCCTGTAAGCCATGCAGGCTGTGGTTGCCGAGCACCTACTTCCTGATGACTACGCTACAGAATGAATCAAACCTTCAAAACTTGAAGATGCATTGGTCATGTGCATCTTTTAATGCTTTGTGTTTTCCTAGGCAGTTATCCAGAGAAATCAGTAGCCCGACTTTGCAGTTCAAATGAAATTGTCTGTAAAGAAAGATTGTAATTCTGGGGACAATGTGATAAATTCTTAGATGTAAAAATATTGTGAAGAGAAGGGTGCAAAATGGGTTTATTGTTTGTGTCTTCACTTAAGTCAAGAATCACAGTCTGATGCCCAAAGCACTACCATGAGCAGACACTAAACACGCATTACACTTATCAAATTGACTTCTTAATGCAGTTCTCTATCTTGCTATTTTGGTTTGGGAAAACAAAATACTAAAGTATAAGAGGAAACATCTGTAATTAGAGTTCACCTGACATAACAAAGTGTGATCTCTATTATTAAACAGAAGCTAGAAGAGAACTAGAATTTTTGTTTGGTTGGTTTGGCTTTTGTTTTCCAAGACAGGGTCCCACTGTGTAGCCTTGTCTGTCCTAGAATTCACTATGTGGGCCAGCCTGGTCTCTAATTCACAGAGATCCACCTACCTCTGTCTCCCTAGGATGGGGACTAAAGGTGTGTGCTTTTATACCCTGTGAGAATTCACATTTCTGAAATCCCAAAGGAACTGGTATTCTTCACACAGTAGGTTACATTCAATCAACCCTACTCGTTTCTGAGGAAACAAATGGCACCATGGAATGACACAGTTGAGGGCATTGATGTTTACCCACTTCCTCCCAGTGCTAAGATCACAGGTTTGGGGCTTCATGCCTTGAGCAGATATCCATACACTAAGGCCCCTGAGGCAGCTCATCACCTATTTTTGGATTACATATAAGCTAAAAGTGGTTTTGCATATTTGCTTGTTTAGAAAAAATTCAAGATAACATTGTGCTATATGGAATTTAAATTGTAAGACATTAGTGTCCAACCCTCCTCATCCCATGCTCTCCACGGATTAGTACTACTGGTGGCTGCTTTCTACAACAGCTCACTTTAAGTATCAGTGCTTAAGATGATCTGGTTCTAAAGTATGAAATAGTTACTCTGGCCTTTTATGTCAATCATTCTCCTGGTTAGGCATGGTAGGACAGGCCTGTAAAACCAGCTAAAGTGGGGAATTAGGCATTTGAGGTCAGCTTAACCTATGTAGAGGTATAGTCCAGTCTGGGATACATAGGAAGACTGTGGAGGAAAACAAACAAAGACATAAATAAAAGTTAATTATTTAATTTCTGATCTAAGCAATGTAGAAAAGCCAATTTAATAACTGAATTTAAGAGGTAAACGGATTTTTATGCTAGTTGAATAAAGGAGGTTTTAATCAATGAGCTGCTTTTAAACCCCAGTTAAGTTTTTATTTCTTTCCTTTTAATGTGTGCATATTTCTGCCTGTGTGTATGTCTGTACTGCAGGTACACCTGCTACTCACGTTGGTCAGAAGAGGGCTTGGAACTGAAGTTACCCATGGTTGCAGGCCGTCACATGGGTGCTAAGATCCAAAGTTGGGTCCTTTGCAAGAGCAGCATGTACTCCTAACCACTGAGCCATCTCTCTAGCCCTGTCCAGTTAGGTTTTTAAAGGGCAAGCCAGGCAGCATGGACATTGTTCCAGTACACATGTCTGTATTACTGTGGGTAGACATTATCTGTTCTTTACTGTCCCTTTTCCTGGTGGTCTTACTCATTGTAGCTGGTTAAGGAAAGGCTAGTATGGGTGTTCAGATTTGCGTTAAATATTCTGGAATATAAAACATGGATTTGAAGAGCTTCTAATGACTAATCATTCCAAGTCCTTAAGCACAGATTTAAAATGTAGGTCGACCTCGTTGTTCCTATTGAGTCAATAAACAAGGACACAAAAGTGGCCCATCATAAAGTATTCTCAGAGATTTTCCTACTTGCCTAGAAAGATACGGAATTCCTAGTGCTCAGGACCACACTAAACAACAAAAAGCCCAAACCCAAAAATGGTGGGGGCAAGGGTAGGCTGGAGAGATAAATACTTCTTGTCCTGCAGGAACTCTGATCAGAGTTCAAGTTTTAAAATTCCTGTTAAAAATGCAGGTATTAGTGACACACTTGCAATCCTAACTCTGGGAAGGTGGAGATGGGTAGATGCCTGGGGCTTTATAGCCAGCCATACCTGGAGAGTTCTAGGTCAGAGAGAGTCTCTGTCTGAAAAAGGAGGAGGTGGCCCACCTGAGGTTGTCCTGTGGCCTCCACATGTATACACACATATGTACATGTACACGTGCACACAAACATGTATCCTTAACTACATGAAGATGCATATGCATGCACAAAAAGAGATAATTATTCAAAAATTATATTGGCCACTAGTTATGTCTCAAATAGAAAACTCAAGTATAAGTCATGTAAGGATGTTTATACATTTGTTAAAGCTGGACGAATTAATCTAAGATCCAATTCTGATTTGATTACATCAATCTTTAGATGAACAGAGAGAGATGTACATCTACAGATCTGATTATATTCCTACAGGGATTAGAATCTTACATATAGAAGAGAGAAAGGGAAGAGTACTAAACATGCATAAAAACAAAGCTTGGAATCTTATCCTAGAACTGAAATGAATGACATTCTGGAACATAAAGGAAACTAATTTCTCTAACTTCATGTGCCTCTCAGGAAAAATAGTTATTTCTGAATCCAAAAGTAATTATACTTTTGACATTCTTAATTTTTAAAAAAAAAAAGTTACAAAAATGACAATGAAAAACTAACTGGATTCTTGTCCGCCTGCCTATTTCAGACGAAAGTAGGTGGGGCAAACCCCAGTGGTGGCAGTTTTGAGGAGGTCCTGAACTCCACAGCACACGCCAGCTCCCAGAATGCTTCAGGAGGCCCCCGGCAGACCACGGATGAGGAGCTGCAATGCTAGGTCCAGCCAGCCTGGGCTGCTGGCAGCAAATCTGCTCGCTCGTCTGCTGATACAAAGACCAAAATCCCACTGGGAAACCGAGTTTTGATGTTGTTACTCAAATGGCTTCTCCGAAGAGTTTAATAATATGATTTCCATTTCCATTTGTGTTGATGACAGACCACTTGACCATCACACTGCAGTATTCACTAGTGTCACCTTTTAAAATGGCCAACTGGAATGGGTTCATAATTGGTCATAATTCTCGTTTGTGTAACTCAATGTGTATTTCCCAAACATGCAGCTAGGATTAGCTTTGGTTTTTGCTTGGTCTCCATAACAATGTGCATGTCTTTGAAGGCTGAGTGATGTGCTTGCTATCAATTTGAAGATCAATAGATGGAGCCCTTTGAGACTGCCTCCAGCAGTAGGCCAAGTCACTACAAACTTCACCAAACTGCTTGTGATCTCCTTCACCTACATCAATTATGTACACTTAAGTCATTAAAATAATCAATTTTAATGATGACTGGATCTTTGATTGCTTTAGTTTACTGGGGCTGCTGATGACTTAAAGTTGGTAGCAATGATTCTATAGGGGCAACTTTAAATCAACTTCTAACCTGATGAATGGGATAGACAAGTTCTAAGACCAATTGCCATCTAAGGATGCTACAATAGTCTCTGACTCTCAAATTCCCTCCAATCCACCTAGGGCAGTAGCTACTCAGGTAAGAATATCTGAGAGAGAACTACAGGAGTTAGAATACATTTTCAATTTATATGTTGTTCCAGTATATGAAAATACACCCAGCGCCTTTCAACCAGTTTTAGCTTTAACATTATATACTCTTTTCTTCACAATGGGAACCTGCTGGTTGTTTGGTAGCAGGAATATACCAAATAGACCAATTAACTAAAATAATTCACAATTTAAAAAACCCACACATTGGACTGCTAGAGTGCTTGTCTACTAAACACATTGGACTGCTAGAGTGCTTGTTTACTAAGCAGAGTGCCGGGTTTAACTGCCCAGCAAGGAACAAACTAGGTATTATGATCCTCACCTGTAGTCTCAGTACTCAGGAGGTAAAGACAGGAGACCCATATGTTCCAGGCCATCTTCATCTACAGAGTGAGTTCAAGGAGAACTTGAAAAACTTCTGTTCAAGTTGATGTAGCATGACAATCTATCCAGACGCATACATATAACTGAAAATAAAGCTGGTTGAGGTCACATGACCTGTGAGGCCCAACACATTAGGATAGGGATCTGGGTTGTAAACTTGATCCACAGTGGGCAGGTTAGACACACAGCATTTCCAGCAGGGGGTGCTGGCACTCTCTGGCAGGAAGCCAACACTGTTTAGCTGGTATGAAGGCAGCGCCAGCTCTCCAGCCATAGTATGACAAACACTGTTTTTCGTACTCAATTTCCACTTGTCAATGAATCCCAAATGGTCAGCTTCCGTGAGCTCTCTGCTGTCTTTTGAAAACCACACTCGACACACCCAACTGTATCAGAGAAATCATTGCCTGGTACCGTAAATGAACATCTTCGTCCACCAACTTCCGTCTTACAGCTGTCTAAGGCTTACAATCTCAAAACACAGTATTCAAGTTCCATAAGAAAATATGCAAGAAAACTAACCTATTACTATCTCAAAGTTTCTAGTACACCGATCGTAGCATTTAATGCAGTCCTCAAAATTCTAAGTATCAATTTTGTTGATAAACTATATTCACTCCCGGGAGGCGCAAGGATGTGTCATTCAAGGTCATCTTTGCCCTATATTGTGAGTTTTGTGGCCAACTTATGCTACATGAGACCCACACTCAAACAACATTTCCTAAACAAAAAGTGTAAGTCAGTCACCACAAATTCTGTGTGAGGGTTTGGTGGGGGAGGGGTTGAGCTGGCACACATGCTACATAGTGTGGTCATATAGGGGTCAGAGGCACCTGTTGGAGTTGCTTCTCTCTTTCCACCATGTAGGACCTAGGGATTGAACTCAGATCTTCAGGCTTGGCAGCAGGCTCCTTTACCCACCGAGCTAGCTCACTATCCTTCATTAGTCCTTTTAATTCATATGGTAGAGGGTTTAGTTTACACCAAGTCAAACCAAAATTAACCACAAATGTCTTACCATGTTTTCTATTGTTGATGAAATACCTGGGGCTGAATTCTTTATAAGGAAAATGAGTGTATCTTATCTCTTCGTTTTGGGTGTTCAAGAACATCTCTTTGGCTTTGGAGACAGATAGCCTTATGGCTGACGGCAGAAGCTGTCACATGGTGATCCCATGGTGACCCAAAATATGAGAGAACCAGGGGCCAGTTTTTTCTTCTTCTTCTTTTTTTAAATAATACCTTCTCGAAAAACAACTTACTTCACAAGACCAGCATTAATGCTACTCAAGAGCAATGCCTTCATGACATATGTACTTTGCATTAAGTCCCAAACCTAAAGGTCCCACACTAACAACCAGGTCTCTAGAAACTGAGCCCGGACACACAAATCACATCCAATCCAGGTTTCTAGATCCCGAACCTCAATACACACACACACACACACACACACACACAGTCCAGGCCTCCAGCACATGAACCAAGACACACACATCCTGTATCTAAACCAGGCTCATTTGATTGTGTCCAACCCAGATACCCAGCACTTAAACCTGGAAACATGTATCATACCTACCAGCAGCAGCAATTCCCCCTAAAAATCATTACTCCCCACTTCTAAACTATAAGATTATATGTATAAAAATACTGAATCCAACAGCCACCTCTTTACAATTCACTGTGCAGTCACAGCACACACGGCCCACAGGCTTTGAGACAAACTGGCCTTTTCCAAACACAAGGGCACAGAGAATTATGTCACAGCTGGAGAAAATGCCAAGGTGCAAAGAGAACATGTGACCAAAAATTATGTTTCTGTTGACTTCAACCCAAGAGTAATTATTTACTCTGCATCTTAATTGCAGGGCTTTTTATTCAGAAGACCAATCTGGACAAGCTGCAAGAATCTCCCAAGGGAAAGCAAAAAACCATTCCAGTATTTGTAGATATTGCTGATGGATTCAGTAGTTATCTTTCCTTCTTGAGCTTCAGTGTAGTGGCTTTTTTTTTTTTTTTTTTTTTTTTTTTTTTTTTAATCTTCATCATAATCCCATTAAACTTACTCGTTTTTCAGAAATAAAGGTTAGGTAAAGTCTCATTGTGAACTCACTGGCCTCTTGGTAGGAAAATGATAAACTGAGATAATGATGATGTAAACAGTGTATATAGTGTGAGCCAGCAAAGGCTTCTACAACTTCAAACTGTCCTAACTTCATGAGAAACTGCAGCGGGCAGAACACTGAAAATCAAAACCCAGGTCCATGAAAAATCTCACACATTCTTGAACTGTACCTGGGGTTATTCGTGTAAATTTCCAAACCTATAAACAGAAAAGGCTCCCAAATATTAATTGTTTTCCTAGCGATCAGACTTCCAAAGACAATGTTTTCACAAGCTTTACAGTTTTCACAGTCAGAAAGTATACATGCACATGTGTTGCTTTTGCAGAGAACATGAATATTGCTCCTGCAGACTGGGTATCCATGGATACTGGAAAGTTTCCAGAGAAACGCTGCATAGGATGTTCCACACCAGCCTCAAAGGCCCCCTTCCATTAGAGGATAATCTTTCTGTTAAAGGGACAGGTCTCTTTGCTCATGCTGAATTACCAGATAGGCTTGCATGGATGTCCATCTTTTCCACACCTTTCGATGGAGTACACAACAAAAGACATGTGAAAAGGATTATTATTCCCACCAAAGAGAAATAAAAGGGAGATGTGATGTTGACAGATACTTACTTTTGGTGCAACAACTCCAAAAACACTCTTTTATCACCCATTCATAATTATTATAACTAATATATTAAATCATAAAGAAAAAGGAAAGGGGAGGGCATGTGGCACTGGAAATATTATACCCTAATTTATATCCTCAGATAACACACTAGGAAGGAGAACAGACCTGTTAGCAGTATTGGAAGTCTACAATCAGTGTACGAAACAGCAGTATTGGAAGTCTACAATCAGGGTACGAAACAACAGCATTGGAAGTCTACAATCAGGGTACGAAACAGCAGTATTGGAAGTCTACAATCAGGGTATGAAACAGCAATATTGGAAGTCTACAATCAGGGTATGAAACAGCAGTATTGGAAGTCTACAATCAGGGGTCCGAAGCACCACACTGTAAAATCAGATACCTGACTCAAGCTGGGTGTGGTGCCACATGCCTGTAATGGTCTAGTACTTGGGAAGGGGGAGGATCCAGGAGGGCCTGGACCAGCCAGAGTGAAACCTTCTCTCAAACAGCAACAGCAGTTGGCCTCAGAATTTGACTCTGTGGGAAGAGCATCTCATCTGGGTGAGGCTCTAGGACTAACAAGTACATTAGTAACTCTCTGCTGTTCCCAAAGGTGAAGTGTCTGTTCCTAAAAGTCATTATAATTAAATGTTCTACCTTCCAATAAATATAGGCTCATAGGCTCAAATAAGGTAATTGAGGACAGCCAAAACAGAAGCCAAAGTTTGGAGTGTTAAATATTTATTGAATTCACAAAACAAGCATTCTCCTCTTGAGTCTTCATCCATGGCATCTTCCTGACCACTTCCGGTGTGGTGGTTTCTTTTGGGGCCTGGATTATATCACATTTCTTGTTCAAGTCCAGACAGCGGAAAATAAGACTTGCGTCTTGGGAGACTCTCAGACCAACAGTAGAAAACACATTCCCATGAGGTAGAGAAGCAAGCGGACAGCAAGGCATGAGCTCTTAGGAGCCTGGCTCTGCAGAGGCTGTGGCTATGCTGGCATTTCTCTCTGCCTCCAGCTCACAAACAAGTTGGACTATCTCAGGGTGACTGAATTTTCCTGGGGGGAAAAAGACATTTCTATATTGACAAGAGAAGACACCTATTTCTTCAATTTGCCCCCATGGCTATCAGGGGCTCTCTTCTGTGAGCTTGGCCATATCTCAATGCTGGAGATCCTGGGTAAGGGATCCAATTTAGCTAGAGTGCAGGATGAGAATCAGACAGAGAATCATCAATAAGGCAGGGCTAGAGGAAAGAGCACCCGGCAGCCTCTGAGTGTCTCTCCCATGAACTACAGGGGAAGCTTGGGAGTGAGAGCCCAGAGGCCAGAACCATCTTTTTCTTCCAAAACTGAAATGAAGTAAGGGGATCCAGTACCTACATAGAAAATGGCCTGCTGGGTAGTGCTGGTGCATGCCTTAATCCTAGCACTCGGGAGGCAGAGGAACCCCGACTGAGTCCAGCATGGTCTACAGAGCAGAGTTAGTTCCAGGGCAGCAAGGAAGACACAGAAATAAAATTAAAAAAAAAGAAAAGAAAGAAAGAAAGGAAAGGAAAGGAAGGAAGGAAGGAAGGAAGGAAGGAAGGAAGGGAGGGAGGAAGGGTAAGGAAGAGAAAGAAGGAAAGGCAGGCAGGCAGGCAGGAAGACTAGGGTATAAAGAATATAAATGACCATCTGATTAACATCTCAAGTAGCTGATGTCCACCATTGTCCCTGCTCCCCAACCCTCCCCAGGATTTTGCTCTTGGCAGTAACCACACCCTCATCTATTATAAATCACGATAGATACCTAGTATAGGTTAACAAGTCAGTATCCTGCACTAACTGACCCATGAGGCCCTCAGAGTCTTGCCTCCAAAGCCATTTCTCATCTCCCACCCTACATTTGCCACCCACCCTGCAGTCACAGACTCTCTTGGTTCAGAACGCAAGGACAGAAAAAGAGCACAGAGCTGTGATGTGAATAGGAGAAAAACAAAACAGAGCTACAGCCTGAGGTCCCCTTCAAAACAGCTGTAATAGGGCTGGTGTAACGACTCAGCTGGTCAAGGGGCTTGTGGCGGAGTCTGTCAGCCTGAGATCTACTTCTGAACCCACGTGGTGGAAGGAGAGCGCTAACTCCCAACAGTTGTCCTTTAACTCCCACACATGTGCTACGGCATGCCCCCATCTGCTATCAAATAAGCAAGTGTAGTAACAAACTGTAATTATAAGATGCAGTTTCCATGTTTCCTCGTGCTTCTTTGATGAAACCTTTTCTTTGTTATTTAGTTTTTAAAATGACAACATAATTATATCATTTCCCCTTTCCTTTCTTTCCTCCAACCCTTCCCATGTAGCTGGCTTGCTAGCTCTGTCTTCATCTTTGTTCTTACATACGTAGGAATGTGTCCTTTCCCTACACATCTGTCTCTGAGATAATGAGAAGCCATTTCTTCAGTGGGTCCAGTTATATTGACTTACTAACTTTGTAATGGAAGCAATGAGCTGAAATGCAATTGCGGTGAATCGTAACTTCAGCTTGGCCATTGCAAGTCACGGTCTTTCTGCACTTAAGCTGCTTTCTCAGCAAAACAGAGGCTTTGAACTAGACAACTCTTCACTCACTGACCTTTTTTAAATTCTGCTTATATTTCACTTACTATTTTCCCAGTGCGAATATATTACAAAGGAAGATAACTAACTGTAAAGTATAAAGATGACATAAACATGGCCCACATTTTGAATTAGTGATGAAATATGTTTCTTGGAACCCAACTGTCACTGAAAACATGGGCCAGCCAACCATGAAAGTAAGACGCCAGCTAGCAACCGTTCCAGGCTTCTGTTATAAGCACTTGACCCTATTGCTAAAATACTGTGAAAGGAGACTCAGACAATATGGAAGGAAGGGGCCGATCCTCTGAGAGGTGGAGTTACACAAATATGCATCCACGAAGGCCAAGGTGAACAGCTGTACTCCAGCATATACCCAACCATGACGTGCCGCCACCTAGAGCCATGGGGTCAAGCAGTCTCACACACTAAAGCTAGGAGCCGAAACAAACCTTCCTCATTGGAAGTTGGTCATCTCGGGAGTTTTGTTGCAGTACCTGAAGCTAACAAAAGGAGAGAGAGAGCCAGAGGGAGACTACAGGTTGTACCAAACCGACACCAAGTGGAGCCTAAGCAAAAAGGGAACACTACATTCTCACAGAGATTAGGAAAGGGCGCCAGAAACACGGATAACAGCGGGTCCTAAGACATTTTAGGTCAGTCAAAAGTGTCAGGATTTTACGTTTTAGAAAGAGGAAAGCTGTGTGTTTTTAAAATGAAGATATCAGCCTAGGGGTGTAGCTCTGGAGCAGAGTGCTTAACCATGGGGCTCAAGGCCCCATGTTTGATTCCCACTCCACTCCTCCCTGCCCCACCCTCCAGAAGGTGAGCTGATGCTCATATGTACAAGGGAGATCACAATAATGGTCCAGTGTAAATCGAGAGTCCTGTCTAGAGTAGATTAGATGGAGCGGGAAAAGGAGAAAAAAGAAGCTTGCAACAGCTTCAGTCCCATGCAAACAGTATTTCAGAGATCTCTCTGTGAGGCAGAAGTTTTCTGGGCTTGTTAAGGCCACACAAGGGTCCTGGCAGGTCAGACAAAGGCCACTCCTCACAGCCCTCAGGGGGAAATAGAGACTGGAATGATCCTACAGGGCTCCCAGGAAGTGGGCAGGGAGTTATATCTAAGGAAGCCATAGGACATCCATCTCCAACAGCGGGTGTGGCTCCTTTCTCTGACACAGTAGGTGTGGCTCCTTTCTCTGACACAGTAGGTGTGGCTTCTTGCTTTGTAAATGATCAAAAGACGGTTGACAGTGCAGGTGCATGCTAAGCAGATCACACGAATTCTTCCTGCATCCTCACACAGTCCTGTTAATGTCCCCTTCCATACTGGGTCTGGGGCCTTAAACCTGCCAAGCAAGTGCGCTATTACTAAACTATATCCCTGGCTCTCGTTTATTACAACTCTATAATAATAACAGGTCAGAGCCCTTTCACATGCTTTATCTCTATCCCCCCCCCCCCCCCCCCGGAAAAGCAATTTTGGACTTAAGAAAGAAATTTTGGTTCCCATTTTTCAGATGAGGCATAGGCTCTGAGACATTAAGAGATCACCAACTGGCAGGTGGCAGGCGCAGAATGTGAACCTGGTACTCCGATGTCAAAGTGGCAGTGTCCCTAAGTGTCAATGGCATCTCAGTTAGCCATGCCACCATTACCATTTTCTTTCCAGATGTTCTACATGAAAGGTTGGGAGAGGGAATCAACATGGGGCTCAATAATGGACCACCAGTCCTCACTCTAAGATTACGCCTAGCTAAACCAAGCAAGCAACAATGCTTATGACCACGAGTACCTGCTGTGGAATCATAGAAGTCTTGGAGCCTCCCGGGTTTACTCTCCATGTCTTCATATTCGGATGCCTGAAGGATCATTTCACACTGGTCCAGCTGCTTCACGAATCTGGCTTCTGCACTAGATTGAGTCTCATACTCCTAAGCAAAGGAACATGTAAAGGATATGATTAAGCTGCCTCGTTGGGGAATCTAGGGATTTTACTATTTGGGTTCCTGGAGTCAGAGTCACAGTGTAGGGAATGAATATTCAGTACCAACTGCATTTCTCTACCGTGTACAGATAATTATAGACACTTGACTTCAGGGAACAGTTTCGCACTAAGACCCTGTGCAAGATAAACACTCCACAGATGCCACCCAATGCGCTGGAAGTTTCTACGATACTTCCAAATTCTTCTCTTTCTGTCATGGTTTCAAGATGAACATTCTTTTAAAAAAATGTATTTGTGTGTGTGTCCATGTGTGTGCAGATGAACATGTATGTAATTGCTGCCCATTTGTTTCAGACAAGACAGGGTCTCTCATCAGGTTGTGATTTGCTGTGTAGGCTGGAAGGCCACTGAGACCCAGGGATCTGCCAGCCTCCTTGGACTTGAGACTGCATGCATATCCTTCTATACTTGCTTTCAATCTGCCTGCCTGCCCACCCTCTATGTCCCTCCCTCCTCCTCTCCTTTCTTCCCTTCCTTCCCCTCTTTTTCCTCCCCCCCCCTTTTCTTTAACATGTGCCCTAGGGATCAAACTCAAGTCCTCTGGCTTGTAAAGCAACACATTACAAACTGCATCTCCCCAACCCTAGGACTGTTTGGTCCAGTTGGGTGGAGTAGATTAGATCTAGTTAATTTCAAGATTCTTTAAAATCTTAAACTTCTCAAAATTTGCATTCTCTCTTCATTTCACCTCAGACTGCTTCTTCCGCTAAGCTAATTAACACCTTTGCTAGTTACTTTTCATTACAGTTTTACCTGGGAACCTTTGTCCCTGCGACCCACCTACAGTAATTAGTTAAGTCCCTATGGGGACATTATGGAGACCCTGAGCTTCACACTCTACATGTCTGTGTTGGTGGCGGGAGACGGTTAATGTGGTGGGAGGGGAGGGGCGTTTTTACCTATACTCTCCCCACTGCCCCCACCCTTCTGAGTGAAACAGGGAGATTGGGAGGGGGGGTTTCTTCTCAGGGCAGAACACATCACCTGCCACAAGTTCCAACTAACGATGCACAGGACCACTTTCTATTAAGAGCAGAGTATTCCCAAAAGATTTCCCAAGAATTCTCATTTGTAATTCCACCCTGATGTGTTCAGAGAACAATCCCATCATGCTTTCTCGGCAGTGAAATATGATACAAACCACTGAAAGGTTTCTTAGGTTATATTTGAAGCCTTATTCTTATAAAGGCAGCCACTTGAATTTGGTAAGAGCTGAATTTGACACAGGGGAATCCTTTACACATGAAGCCCAATATATTTTGCTTTATCTCAAAGGCACTTAAAAAACAAAACAAAACAAAAAAAAAAACCCTACATTCTATTTAAGTGTTCATTCACATTCACATAGTTATATTAAATAAATTCAAGTTCACGATTTAGCCAAAGGAAACTGAATACGCCAAGCAAGCCAATCTAGAATTTCTTTCTGCTCATAGTGAGGGAAACAATCTTAGGAGTGTTGGGAAGTACAATATAAGCTTGTGCTGGCCAGTCTTTGTCAGCTTGATACAACACTGGGGCCACCTGGGAAGAGGGACTCTGGATGGAATTAACTCCATCAGAATGTTGTGGGAATGTCTGTGGGGGCATTTTCTTCATTAATGATTGAATGAGAGGCCTCCGTCCCACTGAGGGTGGGGGCATCTCTGGGCAGATGGTCCTGGGATGCAGAAGAAAGCAGACCAGGAAAGTCGGTGAGAGCGCTCCTCTGGGTTGTTGCTGCCTCTGCCATCACCTTGCTTATTACCCCGACTTCCCTCAATGATGAACGACTACTAAAACCTGTGGGCCAAATAAACCATCTTCCCCGAGCTGCTTTTGCTCGTGTTGTTTATCGGAGAAACACAACTGGCTGCACAGGGAATTCTGATGAGTTTACAGAATATCTTAAAAGGCATGCAATTCGTTGGATTTTCCCCTTAAATAATTCACTGTAAAGGCATTCTCCAATTTTACCTTTCAGTAAAAAAGCCTGGGGTTGTTGAGATGCCTCAGCAGTCGGCAGGTAAAGGTGCGTGCCGCTAAGCCTGATGACCTGAATTTGATCACGGGAACACAAATGGTATGAAGAATGAACCAACAACCATAAGTTGTTCTCTGACCTTCACATATGTGTTATGTCATGCATGCGTGTGCACACATGCACATGGACAATAAATTAATTTAATATTCTCTTTAAAAACTCAGGATTGGGTAAAGGATACTGTAGACCAGGCTCCCAGGGTAAGAAGTATCCTGACATTCAAAGAGTTACTTCGAGTGGTTTCTAACATCAGACCAGAGTGACAGGGCAGAGGAGGAAAGAGGGACAGCTAGATACGGAAGCAAGGGTCTGCGCCAACAGGACCTGGGCTTCCTGTAAAGACTCTTAGATACGGAAGCAAGGGTCTGCGCCAACAGGACCTGGGCTTCCTATAGAGACTCTTAGATATGGAAGCAAGGGTCTGTGCCAACAGGACCTGGGCTTCCTGTAGAGACTCTTAGATATGGAAGCAAGGGTCTGTGCCAACAGGACCTGGGCTTCCTGTAGAGACTCTTAGCCTCCTGTGCATCACGACATCAAGGTGGGAGGGGGCTTCCAACAGCAGTCAGCACATTCAGATTTGATGCTCAGGAAGATCCCTCTAATATGAAGTATGGACAAGAGGCAGGGGAATCAGGTTCCAAGATTGTGTAGCACCAGCAAAAACATTATAGTCTGGCCTACGATCATGGCAGCAAGGAGAGGAAAATGATGAAGTGAAATGAATAAAATAAAACTATATGTAAGAGACAGCACACCAGCATCTATGAGCTATGCATAAGACCAGCATCTTCCTCAAGAAAGCACAGCAGTACAAGAGGGGCTCAAAACCGGCCACAGGTGTCTACCACAAGCCTGAAGTTTGCAGACAGACACTGGGCAAGATTCTGTGCACCCTAATGGTAGATCAGCACTAGGGGCTTTCACAAGGACAGTCCAATCCTAAGATACTCAGTCCCCTGTCTGACCTTTAGGTCAGTCACAGGACAGGGGCCCATGTGAACAAAAGAATCAAAACTGAGTGTATGACGTTTATCAAGATGAAAAAAAGAGAAGACCTAGATAAGGAAAGGGAAACAGTCGGGAAGTCCCTAGAACAAGTCTCCATGTTTTCCTCACATTACATGAAAACACGCACAAGCCACCACTACTACCACCAACAGTTATCCTGGGGAAGGAGATCTGAACTCAGTTTCCTGAGTTCAGGAAATATCATTTTAAACTAAGGAAATTAACTCAGGATGATCAATACAAAAATACATTCTAATGCAAATTACCAGACAGAAAAGAAATTCTTTGGACTCCTATATAAGAACTAGAGCCTGGCATAGCACAAAAAGAAAATGATCATTAGACTTTGACAGCAATGTTTTATGTTAGAAGAAAATGAGAGAAATATGCTTAAATCTATTCAAGAAAAGAACTGTGAATTAGGGACTTTATAGCCAGAGTAACTGAATTTTACGGATTAAAAAATAAATAGAGTCAAATGCAAGGAGTTAGGGAAGAATCACCTACAGACAAGACTCAAACAAGCAAAGTGTTCAGGAGTTGACATAAGGACTAGGGGTCAACAGTCTGGGTGGCATGTGCTAGGGGTGAGGCTGATGTGAGGCTCTTCCTGCTGTCAAGGAAGCCATTGCATTCAATCATATTTTCTCACCTTTCGTGTAAGAACTGCAACCAAAGAGTCGGTGGGGGCAAGCGCAGAAATATATACGCTACAGATTAAAACACACTGGAGTACTATCTTTTTGCAACCTCCAAGGTTTAGAGGATACAAGCATAAAGAAAAAGCAATTATTATATACTGTCACTGCTCTGGAGAATGGTACCTATAAACGAGGCAGACCAAAGTCTCATGCACTAGCCAACTCTAGTCTCGGATAATTTATACTCTGAGGGTTAAGAAGAGTCGCCTAAGTAAAGATACAAGCACAGGGACAAAACAGGTTGTTCCATAGAGGCATATAAACAAATAACAATAACTAGCTGTAACGAATAATCTGAAGTAAACTCACTCCTTCTGTTATAAATTCCAAGAACAATTCTGTGATTTGAAGAAACTGAGGTCACACAAGTCTTGTCTTATTTTCCTGAAGTTATTTTTTTCACAAGCTCTCAGAATTCTTCTCATACGACTTCATGTATCTCTTGAATGATCACCACACCCACCTACAGTGCTGTCCAAAGGATCCAGCCTGAGTCTGATTAGCTGCCAACCTGTATCAAATAATAGAGGACCTCAATAGTGGGGAGGCAACTGGCAAACCCAGGCTTTTCGGACTCCATTATTGGCCAAATAGTTTAGAATCCTCAACAGATAACTTGAAAGAAAAAGGGGTGAAGGCAGATACTATAAATTCAGGAAGATCTGAAGGACAAAGTACGTTTGAAAAATATTCACAAGATTAAAGTACAACATCCAAGGATGAATGATAAGATGGAGATGGGATCCAAATGATTTCTATAAAAGTCGGGCTAGTGGTTACCACAGGGGGCAGGAGCGGAGTGTGGAGAAGATACATCGTTTGGATGAGACACAGACACAGGTTTCTAGGGTGAAGGACCAAATTCCAAGTATGGATCTAGGTGGGAGTTACAGGGATGCTCCCCTTCTAATTATGCTCTCCATTGGTTTTGCAAGGCTTTGAATGATTTATTTTCACACACACACACACACACACACACACACACACACACGATTTTGTTAAAGGAAAAAGGGACAAAAACAATGAGCATGGTCATGGGTCTTAGAAGCCGGGAGTCCTGTGCACATGCAGTTGGTCTGTGTTTGGGGGCTCTAGTTCTGAGCACAGTGCTTAAGGGAGGGACTGTTCCTGAGCTACAGCGGACTCAACAGGTAATGAGCAGGGCTGCAGAGAGGAAAGCAGTCCATGCACCTGAGGGGACACAGGGTCTGAAGATGGGCCAAGGAAGAGGGACATTTGCAGAAACCCCAAAGAGACAGCCACAAAGGTACAGAGAAAAGCAGGCACGAGAGGCCGGGGAGATGGCTCAGGGGACAAGAGTGTCTGCTCACACAGGGAGATCTGAAATGTGAACCTCAGAACTCACATCAAAAACCTGTCATGGCTGCGCCTGAGTACACCGCATCTGTGACCCCAGTGCTGAGGAGATGGAGACAGGAGGACATCGGGGGCCTACTGGTTCACCTCCAGGTCAGTGAGAGACCCTGCCTCAAGGGAACAACATGGAGAGGAAAAGACCAGGACGCACAGCACCCTCCTCTGGCCTCTGCACATGCACTAACAGGTATACATACACTACTGCTAACACACACGCACGCGCACACACACACACACACACACGCACACACGCATGCACACACGCATGCACGCGCACACACGCACACGTGCACGCACGCACACGCACGTACACATGCAAACAAACAAACAAATAAATAAATGGAAACCAAGAAAGAATGTACCAGAGATCCCAGGGATGAGAGACTCAGTGGAGAATTCTTCTCATGCGACCAAGTGCCAGATGGCACCCAGGCAAAACAGGACACGCTGGATGGAGTAAGCCACACAGAAGCCTAGTGTCTTTTCAGCAAACGCAGTGACAGGCGGGGCAGGCAGTCACACTGCAGTGAGCCTCAGAGAATGGATTTGGGGAGTATGGACAAGTCAGTCTTTACATGCTTAGTCATGAAGGGAAGTAGAAAAATGTGGCAAATGAGGAAATCTACTTCAAAAAATGTCACACGAACAGGTATGTACAAGGTCATGCAAAGTTAAAAAAAAAATAGTCCCCAGCCATACAGCCCCTACTTTCCTAATTAAAACAAACAAACAAAGACAGAAAAGGCAAGCTGCTATGAAATGAAGAGAGAGGTAGCCAGGCAGGTGCTTGAAGGGAGCAACAGGGAAGTGGCTGACTTCAGGGATGTGGCATTGAGATGGGAGGGGACCCCACACAGCACTCTGCCACCCACAGGTGTGACTGGAAAAGACACATCACCAGCTGACTCAGGCCAGGGTTTCCTAAGCAGCACGACTAGAAGGCAGCCTAGGTCCTGAAAGGAGAGGAGGAGAAGGGGAGGAAAGCTGGGGATGTTGGCTCTGAGGAAGGATGTGCTATCTGTGAAGTCTGCCTTTCATGGCCTCCTTTCTCCTGGTGAAGCCTCACAATGCTCTACTCTGCTCTGAGAGAGATGACGGGTTAACCCAACTGCATCCAATTGACTGACATCTGATCGTACTGGGAGAAAATATCCCAGGCGGGCAGTTAGGCATTTAGTATGGAGTGCCGGCCCCATGGGATTGAAGGCTCATCTCTGAAATGTAATGCAGGTGGTGGTGGATGCTCCTTTCTGATGTTCTCACAACACAGTGTAGCCACAATCACAGCTCCCTGTGGTGCTTTCGGACGCAAACAAAACATAAATTCACTTTTATGGTGAAAGACAAATTATAATCCAGGAATGTCTAATCCCTTAAACCTCCGGGCTGGCAGGTGCTTGTGATGCTAACAGCTGTGGTGACTATACTTCAAATATCCACCAACTGGCATTTTCAATGCAGCTAGTATTATCCTAAGTTCTCTAGGTACCAATTCCTAAAGCAACATCAGGACTAAAGGCAGATAAAATAGGGTGTATGGATTAGAGACGGGCTAGAACTCACCAATGTTCTAAGTGTCTTACATTGATTACTTTAATTCCTGTGTCTATATACTGCCAATGAAGAAATAGAGGTATGGAGAAATTAAATTGCCCCAAGCCACACAGATACTGATTAAGAAAGCAAGCACGTGAACCTGGCGGCAGGGTATGGGAATGCATAAACTATATCATTGGCTACACATCAATTACTATGTCTCCCATTATGTTGAAAGATTCCTGCTTGCCTGGGCCTTAAATGTGACCTGTGACTGTGATTTATATGGAAACAGGGTTCTGCAGAGGCGACTAAGCTATGATGTAGCCCCAATCCAGGCTGTTGGTACACAGATACAAACTCAGGGAGGACACCATGCAGCTGCTGGGTGGGGACCAGAATGGGCAGGGAATGCCAAGGGTCACAAGCACTCAATCACAGATGGAGGCATGTCCCCAGTGCTAGGACACCAGTGTTCTTTGATGAGCGTCATCAAGTCAGTCACTGACATGCGCAGGATGGAAAACCCATCACCTATGTGGGGGTTATCAAGTGTTTTATCTCTCCTCAAATCAAAAATTCTAAGCAACTGCAATACTTTACTTGGAAGACACTATTTTAAACCTGTAGATTTTTCAGTAGAATTTTCAGTCAGTTGCTGGTGACTAAGAAACTAGACTCTCCTATGTGGCAGTTGTGAAGCAGTAGGACCATGGTACAAACATGGTACATGAGCTAGTTGGTAGGAGCCCATTCCCTATGGTGGTATGCCATGCTCAGCATTAATGCATGGAAGAGGGCCTGGCCCCGCCCCAACTAAATGTGCCAGACTATGTTGACTCCTCATGGGAGCCCTTACGGTAAGGAGTAGACTGAGGATGGGCAAGGGAGGATGGGAGGAAGAATTGTGGTTGGAATGTAAAACAAAATTTAAAAGAATAAATAAATTAAAAAACAAACCAACCCCCCCACACAAAGAAAATGATATTCATTTCATAAACTCAAGTCTCTTTTTCTCTGCATGTATGATGTGCAACCTTACTCTACTGTGCGACCCACCTTACAGAGCACGCTTCAAATTCTACTTGAGAATCTATGCTTTGAGACATGGAGCACTATTCCCCAAAGAAATCCTGGTCTACTGTAACAGACACTTTCTACAGCAGCTCCAAGCTAGACACCATGCATAGCATCCTAGACTGAAGTCTCATAAGAAGATACTTACTAGAGGACCTCGGTCTCTCAGCAGACTCCAGCATTTCCTTATTTCAAAACACTAAGAGCTGTAGTGCATGCTACAGAATGTCTCTAGGAGAGAACCTAAGGCAGCACTCAGAAATCACTTTGTAGCCTCTGCCTCCCAAGTGCTGGGATCAAAGGCATTCACCACTGGCTTCATAGCATCACCCTGTTCTTTTATGTCGGGACAACAGACTCGGTAAAATGACAGCACCCAGGGTCACAGAACTACAACTTGGTGGGTTAAAAATCTCAGTTCTGAGCTACCCCACAGCCATGGGGTCCAGAGGACAACCTCAGCTGTCACCCCTCAGGTGTCATTTCCCTGTTTTAAGAGTGTCATTCACATGTTTTAAGAATTAGAATCAGGAGCAGGGGAGATGGCTCGCCAGTAAGATGTTTATCTTGCAAGCAAGAAGACCCAAGTTCAACTCCAGAACCCAAGTGAAAAAGCTTGCCAGGTAGCACATGTTCGTAATCCCAGGGTAAAGGCGGCAGGGAGACAGGTGAACCCCTGGGGTTCAGTGGCCAGTGAGAGACCATGTCTCAAAACCAAGGTGGAGGATACCTAAGGAATGGCAGCTGAGGTTGACTCTGGCTTTCACACATACACACGTGCACCTACACACAAATGAACAACAGGTGAACATGAATGTAAACACATGAAAGAATTAGGTTTGAGTACACAGCTATGGCCAAAGCAGCCGGAAATACAAGCACCATGAACCAAGAGCTGTACCAGGTGCTGTGATGCTAAGAGAAGTAGAGACAATTACAAAGAAAAGTTTCTATCAGCACAGGAGTTTCTGTAGCAGCTGGGAAACAAAACAACAGCAAATCAGGCAGAGACTATTAAGGTAACCTACGCAACTAAAACATGGACAAGCCATATAACTTGGTATAAAAATACCAAGCCAGTATATATACTCACTTCCCAGAGTTCATATAGCTCCTTCCCGAGGTCCTCTGGCAGCAGCTGGGTTATCTGCTTCATAGCCTCCTGAAATATGAAACCATTAATTCCATTATATTCACCTTTGTCTAAGTCAATATTTCATCTACAAAAGCCAAAGGGACTCAGATTCTTTACAATAACTCCCAGTAGAAGAAGCTGGCCTTTACAGGTTTGGGCTTTTTTAAGTATTACATTCATTTTCTATTATTTTCATTACTGCAAAAACTTAAAAGCATCATACAGAAAGTTAACCATTGTCAACAACATAACAGAAGTTAGTTTTTGAGGTTCATGGATTTCCAGAACGCACTGCAAACACTGTCCTCCTCATGACCTCAAGGGGCTGCATCTGAAAGTACTATCCTCTGATTGTCAAACAGCAGGACAATGACCAATGAGATCAGAGTGGCTGTGCCCCCAACAACCATTTGAGGAGATGTTCTTGCAACTCATATGTGTCCAGCAGAGTCTAAAGACACCTTTGTCACATGAAGCCTGAGCTTTAACCACAAAATCCAGAGAAAAGAGGAGACTGAGAGAATGAAAAGGTAGAAAAGGTGTTCCTTACTCTAAACACTTGTGGATTCCTTCCTCAGTCCAGTCTCTTTCTTGGTTCCAATCATTCCAGTATTCTAAATAGCACACTGTGAAGGGGACCTGGCTTCCCAACGGCCTTACACCCCTCCGCCATCTCATCCTGTTTATCTCTAACTCTACTGGACGTCAAACTCTTTGAAAAGAAGAAGCTGTAAGCATCAACTTCAGTAATAGCAAGGTCTCATATAAAATACGACAATGAGTTGCAGAAAAGCAATGAAAATGAAAATGGGTATTTGTGTGTCTATTTATGAGGTGTTGGGAGGAAAACTGGCTTAGAGCGTACCTCTGTGTCTACAGCAAGCAGCATCTACCCGCACCAGTATTATGCTCCTACAAGTGGCACCACCATCTGGATGGCCTGCTCAGTCACACAGCTGTAGTATCACACCACTGGGCGGCATAAAAATGGATTTTACATCTGCATTCTTGTTTTTTTTTTTTTTTTTTTTTTTTTGTAAATCTTAGCAATATACTTGAGAAAGCATATTTTTATAAATTATCTCCATATACAGACTGTATTTTGAATACTATTCCAGAAATACATTATTTCTTGCTTCCCCCCACCCCAAAAGACATCTGTGTATAGAATACGGAAGTTCAGCCTTCTTGGAAGACATATGTAAACACTCTGCTCTGAGCAGGAGTCATTTTCTGCTTCTTCGTAGCTGATTGGCCCAGTCCTAACATGGCAGAAAAAAATACAGCCCTCGCCAGCCCCGTGCAAGCTACTTTATGTGGATAAATGCATTCCAGGACTGAATTAGCTCTTTGGAGACCTTAATATTAACTTATTAAGAAGCTTCTCCAAAATTACCATGTTCTTTGGAAAACAAAATACAACAAATGTTTTGCTTTCCTCTTAAAATTGAGAATTTTTTTCCTGGATCTAAACATATTGATGTAACTTGTTATTCAATGAGAATTATACTTTTTAAACCATTTCTTGAGGATTTCATCCACAAGTACTATAATACTTCTATCCCTCCTTCTGGTTCCCCCTCCCAACTCTTCCTTTGTTCCCCCACTCTTTCTCAAATTACTATTATGGGTATACACGCATGTGTATATATAGTCTGTTGAGTCCATCTAATGTTGCATGGTGTGTGTGTATGTGTGCGCGCGCACGCGCGCCCACACGTGCACACATGCATGTTTTAAAGATGACTGTTGGGACTAGGCCACCTATCAGGGTCTTGTCCCTAGAGATTACTGACTCTGCTCTCAGCAGCTATTAAATGCCCATAGCTCTTCTTGTAGAGATGAGTGTTTGTATGATTTGGTTGTCTAAACAAGACCTCCACAGTAACACCATTAAGTGTCTTGTCTCCTTTAAAAAACGATACCACCTTCACTGAAGATCCTAGTCATAAGCCAAGACTTCATTCCTCTATACTTTCGCTGTGTCAGTCAGTCATAAATTGAGTGACGATGTTCCTAGCTTCTTCCTTTGCTAGCAAAGTATGCCAAGAATTTGCTACCACTGAACTGAGCACAGCTCTCACCAAATCCGCAATTCTTTTCTACCAGTTTCGCGGCAAGCACCTGCAAAGCATGTGGCTCACACCCTGACACTGCTGAGTGGAGTGGTGGCTCACTCAGAGTCTAGACTCAGACTGTTTGGTCTTAAACCTTGGCTTGGCCTTTACTAGCTGAAGATCCCTGACTAGGCCCTTTTGTCTTGCAGTTTTCTCAATGGCAAGATGGTACCTTCCAAAGAGGGCTGAATGGTCTGAATGTGTGAGCACACACAGTCCTTATAACCCAGCCTGAGTCCTCTGTAAATGTTCACTGTGATTTCACTTTCTCTACTTTCCAAATGCCATGATAAAGGCCCATTCTTCTCCTTTCAGCTAATTCTTCAGTCACCCTGCCCCTCAGATGGAGGTATAACATGACTGCACTCCATTTAAACAAGCTTCTCTCTTTGCAAAAGAGTATAGCTGTTCACTGCTACATTCAGCCTCTAAGTCCAGCCCCTTAATTCTCATGTTACTCACTACTGGAGAGCTTGGGTTATAGTAAAAGGTTCATGTTATCACGGTAGAGGTAGGGGGTCAGACTACAAGCGTTGCTTTTGGCCCACTTCCCAAGTTGTGTCTTCTATGCCCTCATTCTGCCTTTCATCCTAATGCCCAATAACCTCTAAAATAGTCAGTTCACCAAGTAGTCCCCCACCCTCCTCCTGCAGCTTAAATCCTGGCCATTCCGTCAAGAAATTTCTGGGCAAATTTCCTGGTTCACATTATGCATGTTTCTCACGAGGCCAAGAAGGCCTTCATTTAATCATCTTAATGAGTGCCTCAGAGTGCAGAATCCTGTTCATAAACACCATCTGTATAAGGAATCCCAAGCGTCCTGTGCCCAAACCCGATCAGCAGCATGAAGGTGTAAGGGTGCACCAGCTCTCTCCAGGCCCCGGGTCTCTCAGCCAAGAACTTGATGTTCCTAAAGATGTGTCCCTGCTCCTTCTGCCTGTGACATTTACTTCTCTGTGAATCAGCAGGAGTGGGCGCAGCAAGGACAACTGGGGCCAGAAAGACTTTTTCCTAACCAGAACGTGGCACACAAGACGACAGCAGCACCTTGTGATCCTCGCTGGGGCGACAGGGATCGGGACCCAGCCTGTCTGCAGAGCCCTCGGGTCCCCCCCCACCCCCCCACCCCCCGTGGATGCGGTTCCTTCACAGTGTCTGTGGTTCTTTTCTAGAAGTTTCTGGCATGTTCTTCTGTGGAGAAAATCCTCATGTGCTTCCGGAGGGACAGCATTATCTCTTCTCTGTTGTATTTCCCTCTGCCTGCTCCTCAGTCTTGGGTCACCGTAGTCTTCAGCATCTTCCAGCCAGCTTCCTCTTAATCCAGGTGACATTTCACACTGTCCTCTGGCTCAAGTACCAGTTCCTTTCTACAACTGGGAATTTCAGCAGATCATTTTTTCTTTATGCATTCTGACAACCACCTAAACAGTCCTTTCCAGAACAGTCTAGACCTATATTGAGAAACAGTTCCTTCCATCATGATGCGCAGACTATATGCTGGACTTGTCCTTCGGGAAGAAGAGGGACGACACAGCCTTATACTATCCTCAAAGTGCTATCCCCGTGTTTTAGGGTATGTAGGAACCTAAATTAGCTCCACTTCTCTATGGAAACTTGTTTCTAGATGGGCTATTAGCCCATTGGCTACTTAGCTCTAATCTCCATCAGCTTGGAAAATAGCTGCTTAAGTCTATCTTCTCTATTAAACCATCTCAGTAAAGACTTCCTCACTAAATAACTTAGCACCAGTCTCTAAGGCCTATAGGAATAGTCGTTCTCAGTGATGGTTGCACTGGGTACCATACCTTCAGCTTTAAAGGATGAAAGAGCAAGAGATGGGCAGGACAGGATAAAGAAGAGCTCCTTCATGTGTTTATCAGTTTTGGTCTCAAAAAAATGTCTCTTTTTAGCCCTGTGCTCTGAGTCTGAAGCATTCACTGACCTTGATTTAGTGTCTTATCAATGCGATCTATTTCTGTGAATTCAAGTGTTTTCTTTTACTTTTAAAATTTCTAGTCTCTAAAGGACTAACTTAAATTTACTAAATAGTCACTATAGTACTAGATATATATTTGTAGTTTAGAGAATTTCTCCCCAAATAGTTTAAGTGTGTGGGTTGGGTGTGTGTGTGACAATTTCAGATATTTGTACTATTCTAAAAATAAAAGCCATGCCATGTATCTATGCATACTAATAAAAACTGAGGTCAACATGACTATTTGTTGCTGGAGCAACAACAACAAACAAGGCTGGAGCAGGGATGTAGCCCTACTCTTATATAAAACAATGCTGAGAATAAGCTAAAACCCAATTCGCTGCCCAAGACCCCCTTGCTCAGAGAAGACCATTCCCTCCTAAAAACAGACATTACGGGTAACATTAAAACTCTTGAAGACCTTCCCTCATGATTCCCACCAAATCTAAGTTCTACTAGACTCAGTTAGTCGGCCTATCATCAGATGAGCTACATCGCAACACCTTGGTCCTAAACTCAAAGCACACCCTCTCTGACCTTCCCTCTCCTGAGACTGGCTAGGTGGTGTCTTCCATTATTCCAACAGGGCTAGTGAATTCTCTTCACTTCAGCGACAGATTTTCCACACGGTCTTTTGCAGAGTCAATGCTCGGCACCAACCTCTTCCCGCCTGTGCTTTTCTTCTTTGGGGATGTTATCTGCTGGTGCTATGTCCCCAACGATGCACTCTGCCATGTCGTGGACCAGGGCTAGGCGTATACATCTGACCAGGTAAGAAATGTTGAATAATTACACAAAATTACATTCACTACAAGTTTCTTTTCTATGCTATTCTTAAACTTTCTAATGTGTCTTTTCTTTCTTCCCCACTCACAGAATATTTTAATACAATATTTTCTAAAGTAATTATATTCTACCAGCCTACACTCGTTCTGAATCAAAACTGCTTGTGAATATTTAACACAATACTTGAGCATATAGAGCAAACTGAATTTTTTTTTAATGGTTGGTTTTATAATTCTCACTTTAAGAAGTTCCTAACTTCAAATTACAAAGCCAAGAGATGTTTTACTTATAAAATGTAGAGTCAATCATTCCCTCCAATGTGTAATGATTGCATCTGAACAGAAAAAGCTTTGAATTTGGCTGCCGACCTTACTAGCTACAGGATGTTTACCAAATTAACTTACTTAATTTAAATGCTTCCCTTTGCCGCCCTTCATTTTATCATGTAAAATGGGTAACAGGGAGTCACAGCTTGTGGAGTACTGGCCTATCATTCACAAGGCCCCAGTTTGATGCCCAGCATCGCTAAAAGGGTGTGGAGAAGTACTTCATGAGAGAGATATGAAAATCGTATTTGATAAATCATATTCTTGCTCCATACTGGTCATTTAACACATGGCTCTGGTTATTATTCTACGATAATAATCACCAGATTGAGAGAGACAAGTAATGAGGTAGGTGCCCCAGAAGGGCGGGCTGTTTTTCAGTTCCACTAATCAACAGGAGGCTTCCAAGTCTCCTAAGTTTCCCTGCCTCTGGTTTCTTTCCAGTCCAGTTCAAACGTCGGACTGACTTCATCTCAAACTGACTTCACTTTTGTTTTGTGCTTTTCTTCTTTTTCTGTCCCCAAATCCCCTTATTCCACACCATCTGCAGAGCAGCAGGTAATCCTCCCCTCCCCAGGGACTCTGTGCTGTAGTCAACCAGACTTTCTTCTGTTTTCCAAAGTACTTTGTGCCCCCCCCCACACACACACACTCCTGGGGCCTTGATTCTAGCTTCTCTACACACAGTGAGTGCTTCTATTTCTCCACCAGAACTCTTCAGAACTCAACTCAGCCACCAGCTCATCCATGAAGACCAAAAGGGCAGGCCATCTCCCCTACTACTAGAAAAACTGGTTAATTCCCTACCCTAACTTATTTTGTGAATTTTACTGAAGCCACATTGGGCCTGAGCAATTCATTTGCTGTCTTCTATGTAAATCCTTGCCCTATAGGTTCTCAATTACTTTAAAGGCTTGCTGATTAACTAAAGGGGATACTTCTCCATTGCATCTATATACTTATTGCCATACAGCCTCAACAGGAGGCCTCACAAATGGTTACCATTATTCATAAAAGCAAAGTAAATACTAATACAAAGACAGATTTTTACACATAACTTCGAGGCCCTAACTTCTCACTTGTTTGCACTGAAACTAACACACACACACACACACACACACACACACACACACACACACACAAAATCAGCAGAAAGCCTACTGTATTTTACAACCGAAGAAACCCTCACAGAGTCCAGAAACCTTCACAAGCATCACTGTTCAAACAGCTTACCGATCCTTGTTAAGGTGGTCATCTCTGGTCACCATAGCCATAACTGCCATCCGGTACATGTGATCTGACACACTCTCTGGCTTTTCCACATTTCTGTATACCCAGCCTGTCCGTGGAACTCTCTAATTAAAGAAGATAAGGAATTAAACAAACAAATACCATAGCTGGAAACAACCACACAACCAACAAGTGCTCTTCAAGACAATACCAGGGGACGGCCAGAGTCACCAAGGCTCGGTTTCAAACCTATTTTTTAAACTGACTATAGTGATCCACTTCTGAAATCAAACTAGTAAGAGAACAAAATGCCATCCACAACTGAAGTCCAATAGTCATCTGTCTGTGCTACTACGGGGCAAATACCGCGTTTTTAGAAATAAAAGCAAACCCCAGCATAGGTGGAGACAGAGTTCCAGGCTGCCAGTCTGCTGCTACCAGTCTCTTCTCAAAACAAGTACTTCTTAGTGAGGAAAAAGTACAAAGCAAAGCCCTGAGTTTTTCCCAGCTACAAGAGCAGGAGTTTTTGCTATCCAAAAAAACTCATTTCACACAAGAAGAAAACAGCAGAATGTTTTGCACATAAACATGCGACAGGCTACCCCATTCTGACACAGAAGGATTAGAGGAATTTCTGTCCCGTTTTTATTCCGAACATGATGTGATCATGTGAATCTGCACCTTCCCTGGGAGTTCGATGCTTCTAAAGAATTTCACGAACAGTAGTCACGGTTTCAGGGAACCGGTGATCTGGGACCGTAGGGGACTGCACAACCACTGCCAGGCGAGAGGCTGGCGCCTGCTGAAACTGTGTTACAGAAACGGTCATTTCCGGAGTCACAGCGGCAGGGAAGTCTCCACTGCTCATGTGCAGGACTCCCTGCCTTCCGCTCTAGCTGGGCTGCATCGCCCACGGCCTGGGTAGTGGGTGCCGGGGCCAGAGCGGGCGGCGCCGGGCCCGGAGCGTGCACGGTCCCGGGTCCAGCCCCAGCCGCCGGCTTGGTCGCCCGCAGCTCCTTCCCGGCACATCCTGACTGCGCACCGCTGGCTGAGAGAAGGGAGGCGGCGAGGTCCCAGAGCCTGAGCCCGAACCACCGCCTCCCGGCCAGGCCGCCCCCGCTCGCTCACCTTGAGCTGCCCGACCAGCCGCAGAAAGCGCAACAAGCCGGCTCCGTAGCCGGGAGAGGCAGAAGCCATGATGGAGAGCACCTGAAGGGTGGCCTTCAGCAACTCTCCGCCCTTAGGCTCCACCCTCCGGCCCCGCCCGCCTCCGGTTCCTCTCCACCCTCCCAGCCACGCCCACCATAGGCTCCTCCCCCTTAGGCACCTCCTCTCCCCTCTCCCCCCCCCCCCCAGGCTTCTCCCCTCCCTCTGCACATCCTCCCTGGGTGGACCCCCTTCTCTGGTTGGGCAGTCAGGGCTTGGACTTTGGTCTGTGCTCAAGTAACCCTGGCTGCTTTCACCTTGATGGTATTTCGATGCTAAGGGCCTGAGTGGGAAGAGGCTGGATGTTGCCTGCCAATCTTCCTTCTTAGAAGTTCAGCGTCTAATTGGCCAGAAGAGCTAGCTTTTAAGGAGCTCCACTTATGGGTCTAACATCCATACCAATATAACAGAGAGGCGCTGAGCACAACTATGGAGGGAGGAAATGGGTGGCAGATACACCGGGGGACTTTGGAGGAGGCAGAAAAATGGGCTAGGAAGAGCAAGCCCATAGTGAAATCACAACCCCTTTAATAGCTTAAGTACTTAAGCATCACCCACCGCCAACAACAACAAGAAAATTATCGGCATCTGCTTGGACCATGACTTGTTTCCGTTGACAACTGAACAGTACAAGCTTTTAAAGGCAGTTAATGGATATGGGCAAGATCCAAAGAGGAATGGAAGTGAGGGAGTATGTGGGAATAAAAAGGAATTCTATTTAATTGTAGCACGTAGGCTTATTAATATGCATGTGATGGTCCTAATAAGCCGTGCGTAGTTTATCCTTGTTTCTTATTATATAACGTACCCATTATGTCTTCCATTTGAACCATACTACTTCTATGCTAGAAAATTTTGAATTCACTGTTGTGTGTATAGTCATTGTAGCAAAGTGTTGGTACAGAAAGTTACTCAGTAGAGTCTATGGAACCCTAAGCCAGCATCTGTGAGCAATACCCAGAATTATAGTCAGCTCCACAGAAGATGTTGAAAGTGGGGAATGGTATAGTGATAGAGTATTTGCGTGCTTGAGGCCCCAGGTGATCTCCAGCATTGAGAATAGGTGAATAACTTATCACTGTTTGGATTCCTATAAAATGAAAATGCAAGCTTCAGCTGCCTTGCTGTGCTAAGTTCCTAGGTGCTGAAGGTCCTATCCCTCTTTTAATTTATAGTCTCTATCTGCTGTCTCCCAATAGATAACACTGGTAGACCCTCTGTCCTGTGACCGTCAGAGTGTTTTGGAATTAGAACTCATCAGAGTAACCATGCCTGTGAAAGTGGTTTTTCAGATTATAAAACATGTCTGGACGTCATAAATAGACTCTATGGAAGTAGATATTAAATAGTACCTTGTTAGTGCTCTAGTTGGCAGTGTGAACCTGGGAGAAAGTGGCCTAAAATTGAGGCAGACTAACGCCTCGGGCAAGAGCCGACTTGATTCAGAGCATCAGACAATTTATACTCTGAGGATTAAGAAGAGTCACATGAATAAAGTATAATCACAAGGGCAAGCCGGATGTAGCAAAAACATGTTTTTCCATAGAGGCATGTGAATAACGGCAGCTGAAGTAAACTCACTCCTATCCTATACCCCTGGAGAAGCACAAAAACACATTCCAGGGACAATTCTGTGTTTTTGAAAAAACTGAGGTCATAAGAGTTTTCTCACAATCTCTCAGGATTCCCCTGGTACAACCCCATTCATGGACTATGGTCTGGTAGCACCTATCACTCACATTACAATTTAGCAATAAAAGGATATCATTTCTATTAGAATAGGAGCCCTGGAAACAGGTTTGGGGAACAGGGAAAGACCTAATGGGTGACAGATGTCGTAAAGCTCTAGCATTACTTAAAGATCTCTGTAAAGAGACATAGTGGTGTTCGCTGATGTAAATAGTGTCTGTGGCCTCGGGAATTTAATGCAACTCTCTGAGAGGCAAATAGAGTGTAAGCAGTTTGTCACTTTGTAGGTTGGCCATTGACCCTAGAGAAGTGAGGGAGATTGGCTGGAGGGAAGTACCACAGGGTTCCTTTCACGTGGGTGGCGATATTAAAGATAGAAGATATTCTTGTATGTTAATTTACTAATGGAAGTAATTTAGAAAAAGAAAGAAATTATCAATATAGGGACAGAGAGGTGCTTCAGTGTTGGCATTAAGAAGAAAAGTGTTATAGATAGTCCACCAGCACCAGAGAAGGCCACTCATACACGGTTTATAGCCAGTTGAAAGTCTTTATTCTAGCCTGCTGGGCTGATACCCACGTGTTCTCAGACTGAGGCATAGCCCCAAGCATCCAGCTCACCAGGCAAAAAGCACGGGCTGACAATGGGATCAGGAGTGGCGGGGGACTGCGCAGAAGCAAGGTTAACAGATGCTAAGTTAGCTAGGACACCCTGACCTTGGGTTCCTAGGATTGAGTTGGGTAGTTTCCCATGGGATTCTCCATCAAGGAGTTCAAATTCCAGTTGAACCTGAAATGGCCTCACAACTTGACCCGTCATGAAAGGATACAGTCTAGTGCACAAGGTGATAGGCTGGCCTTCTGAGGAGGAGAATTCACAAGGCACAGGAAGTGATGGCTATCCATGGCAGATGTGGCATGGGACAATGTAGCTGTCCTCTCCCAGTTTTCTTACCTAAGGAGGCAGCCTAGTCTAAGCCAAGACATATTGTAGTAGGAGGATGTGACTTCCTGATCTCCTGTAACTCAGTAGCTGAACACATCAATGGTTTGTCCTGCTCATCTGCTCTCTGCCCCCCTCCACCCCCTTTCCTTTTTCTCAGGGGCACTGGACCATGCAATGTACACATTAGAATCAACTAGAGGGCACTATTCTGATCTCATTCAAAGACTGTGCTCCCCTCCTATCCCTCCAACACTTGGGCAGAGATGCTCACTTGGTTCTTTAAACCTGTTCCTTAGAGGACTATGTGACCTTTCTTATTCATATGATGTGTGAGGTAAGTACCATTGCTGCAACTAATTTCCAAAAAGTCCTGTGAAAGAAATACAATCTTTCCATGCACAGACGGTAGGAAACCTTGTGTATGGAGGGGGAGGAGACCCTGAAGGATTGAGGAGTGAGAAGACACAAAATTGTTTGGGGGGAGTGTTATTGAAACAAGATTAAATATGATTAAGAATCAAATGAATGCCAGAAAATGTGGTCCGCTTGATGAGTTGAGCCACTTCATGATGGCTTGTGTTGATAGCCAAGTCGATCATCAGAAGTAGTGTTGTCAAGTCTGCTGCAGGAAAAACACAAAGGAAAGCTGAGGTGAACAGATACTTGGACTTCTGATTTGCAGAGTATATGAAGCGCAGTCTGGAGATGGGCCCTGCAAAGCGTGGGGCTGCTAGCTATGCGCTGAGGGTGCAGTGCACCTCATCCTTCTCCGGGACACCCTGCTCTCCTCTGCCTGCCATGATCGAATTTCCTTCGATCCTTCCCTCACTCACACAGGTTTGACCTAGATGTTATGGAATGGTACCTGTTATGGTTTGGATCTGAAATAGCCCCCAAATATCCACAGAGCAAAGGCTTGGCCCTTAGCCTACACCACTTCTGGGAGTCGGAAACAGGAAAGACACTCTTTACAAGGACTCTCTCCTTGAACTCAAGTGTGTGCTTAAGGAGTTTGGGAATAAACTGAAATTGTCTGGAAACTTTTGTGGCCTTTTGCAATGTTTCCTGTTGCTTATTTGAAGAATCAGGCAAAAGGCTGAAAAGCAATAGATCAATCTGAGAAAATTATCCCAGCAAACATTCGACAGACGTAATTTAAGAATCAAGTAAAAAGTGAAAACCAGCCTGGTAGGGTAGCACAACCTTTAACCCCAACACTGGGGAGGGAGAGGCAGGCAGATCTCTGTGAATTCAAGACCAGCCTGGTCTACAGAGCGAGTTCCAGGACAGCCAGGACTGTTACACAGAGAAACCCTGTCTTGACACCCCCCCCCCCACTTCAGAAGACTGAAGACCAGGTTCTTTCTTGTCTCTCAAAATAATCAAGAAAGAATTAATGCTTCTGTGAGCCATATCTTTCTAGATAAGAGACAATTTAGTTGTATTAGTTAGCTTTGTCTTTGCTTTCACAAAACACAGGACAAAGACAACATGAGGAGTTTGTTTGGCTTCAAGTTTGAGGGAACAGTCCAGCAAGTGGGCATGGCAGCATTGTGAACTAGTCACACTCAATCCACAGGAAGTGGAGGGTGTTGAATGCTGTCATTCAGCCACATTTAAGGTGGTTCTTCTTGCCCTGATTAGCCCATTAGAAACTCACTCACAAAGACATCCTGAGGTGTGTTTCTCCTTGTGTCTCACCATGTCAAGTTGATGATTAAAATCAACTATAACATTCAATGTTCTAGTTCAATTGTCCTTAACCTAGAAAAATTTTTGCCCCAAGGGGACAACTGGCAATGCTTTAAGATATTTTGCTTGTCACAACGTGGGATCCAGTGCACAAAAAGTCCCACAACAAGAATTACTGAGCACAAAATATCCAAAGTGCTGAGACGAAGAGACCTCATTCTGTATATTCAAAAAGTAAGTTCTCGAATTTGCATCTTTCATGTTGGCGATGAGACACAATCGTCAGAAAACTGACGATGTGTGTATATTTAAAATGAATAAAGGGACACACAAGTTTTATGTGACAATTCCCTTGTGAAGTAGCATGGAAAGGCTTTTTCCCTTGACAGGCTTGGGGAAGATGAAGGGAATTACAAGTTGACTTTGATCATTTATGCAACTAGGTTAGAGGAGAGCAACCCAGATAAAGAGGATAGATGTAGGATAATGAAGCCTGGGAAGGAAGGAATATTACAAAAGCAATGTTTGTTCAAGAGAGAGAGATGAAAGATTGGGCTTTGTTCTATTTTGCTGCTTTCTTGCCTGTGGCAGAACACTATAGTTCAGCATAGAAACTTGCGTGTGCAACTTCCCCATATTTCCAGGCATTAACTAAAGCAGATGTGACTAGGCTAAGATGCACTTCTCTGGGTGAGTGCTTGCCTGGCACCCCAGAAGCCCTGGGTTTGATTCCCAGTATCACATAACCTGGACCGGTGA